TGATACAGGTGTGATACCTACTAAATACTATTAGTTGCTGTGATACAGGTGTGATACCTGATAAATACTATTAGTTGCTGTGATACAGGTGTGATACCTACTAAATATTATTAGTTGCTGTGATACAGGTGTGATACCTGATAAATACTATTAGTTGCTGTGATACAGGTTTGATACCTACTAAATACTATAAGTTGCTGTGGTACAGGTGTGATACCTACTAAATACTATTAGTTGCTGTGATACAGGTGTGATACCTACCTAAATGCTATTAGTTGCTATGATACAGGTGTGATACCTGATACATACTATTAGTTGCTATGATACAGGTGTGATACCTACTAAATAATATCAGTTGCTATGATACAGGGTTTGATACCTATTAAATGCTATTAGTTGCTATGATACACGCGTGATACCTATGTAATGCTATTAGTTGCTATGATACAGGGTGTGATACCTATTAAATGCTATTATTTGCTATGATACAGAGTGTGATACCTATTAAATGCTATTAGTTGCCATGTACAGGTGTGATACCAACCAAATGCTATTAGTTGCTATGATACAGGTGTGATACCTATTAAATGCCACTAGTTGCTGTGATACAGGTGTGATACCTATTAAATGCCACTAGTTGCTATGATACAGGTGTGATACCTACCAAATGCTATTAGTTGCTGTGATACAGGTGTGATACATATTAAATGCTATTAGTTGCTATGATACAGATTTGATACCTACCAAATGCTATTAGTTGCTGTGATACAGGTGAGATACCTATTAAATGCCACTACATGTAGTAGCTATGATACAGGTGTGATACCTACCAAATGCTATTAGTTGCTGTGATACAGGTGTGATACATATTAAATGCTATTAGTTGCTATGATACACATTTGATACCTACCAAATGCTATTAGTTGCTGTGATAGAGGTGTGATACCTATTAAATGCTATTAGTTGCCACTAGTTGCTATGATACAGGTGTATAGTAGGTTACCTGAGGCACACAAGGAAGGACTGACGGTTGTAGATTGGCAGTAGGAGCCTCCGGGACACTGGACACAGGCCGTAGAGGACCCTGCTAGGTTGTATGTTCCACTGGTACAGGCCACAGGTGAAATCCCCTGGTTTGTACATTCATTTCCTACAAAATTTACAACAACACGTAAAACTTACTTTATTTAAACAGAATACAATATCTATATATTGGTTTACTCATCAACACAAAATTAACAGCACTTTAATTGGTCAGGACCACGTTCTAAACATTCCATTTAAGTTTTATGAATTCCTTCAGCAGATAATGTATAATGCCGGTATGTATTTCATCGACTGAAAAGTTATCACTGAGACAAGATTATGTTCACATGGGAGACACGAATAAAGCTTTGAATTATTCAATTCTACTGATTTTTTGTATATTTTGTGTGTTTAAAGTGAAAATAGCTTTGTAGCTAGATAAAAGGTGTAGTATGTATACGCTGGGACATAAATCCGGATAGATATGGTTACCTGCCGGACAGGTAGTACAGGTTTCCTCGCCCAGAAGGGAGTAAGATCCAGCGGAACAAGCTGTCGCGGCTGTGGTCGTACAGGAACTTCCTGCTGGACATTGCGTACAGCTAGATGCTCCTGCTGCTGAATAAAACCCAGTGACAGCACAACTCGTCTCTACGTCTGCTCCTTGGGGGCAGTAGTTCCCCGCTGTACAGGTGATACAGGTCATTGCTGGTGAAAGAAGAAGGTTAAAGGTCATTTTACAGGTAAATGAATGTCACAGGTAAATTATTTAAGGTCACAGGTAAATTAAGGTCACAAAAAGCAAATCGTTTTTGAAAGCTCTATGTTTAGGCTCAAGCAATTTATCCTGTTTTAGATCCTACTGCAATGATGATTTTGTAAAAGTAACTCAATAATTGGTCAAAAACTATACACATATTTAAACATAAAATGTCAGTATCAGTCTTATTTATATTACTTCAGTTCTACTGTTGGTAACATTTCTACAACATGAAATCATTTTAATTTGCGTGTGCTCTATTTTCAAACTTTACCGAGAGATTTTACTCGTGATAACTTAAATTCATGATTGAGAGGATGCTAGTTTACTTGTTGAAAGTACTTTTCCATGAAATGGATATTTGTGAAAGACATAAATTTGCAAATAGATGAGTTAAAAAATAATCTCTTCAGAAAATAGAGTGATTGGCAGTAAACAGAGTATATTGGTCACAGTGACTACTTACTTCCTGAGGGACTGTATTCCCCCGAAGCACAGAGTACAGGTGTTGATGTAGCATCGGCACAGGAGTGGCCTCCGGGACAGGCTGTACAAGCTGTCTGTCCGGCTACCGAGTACTCACCTGTAATTCAATTATGTAAATGGGAGATTATTTGGCTAGAACATCCAAATATTTTCTATATTTTACAACAAAATTATTCTGCCTATACAGGTCTGGCTTACTGCCAGATAATCTGTGTCTAAGACTATCTAATGCCTGACGCTAATGCCACCCTAGTAAAATACTAGCCGCTTCCTACTGACTGGGCTAGGGAGAATTTCTCTTTAGCTCATTTGGTAGACCATTACACTACTAAGCCGGAACTCTTGGGTCGACTCCTGGCGGAGGCATTTAAAAAATAATGACCTCTGCTACACTTATGAAACTTGATGAATAAAAATTGACATGCATCTATCTGTAGATGTCCAGAACACATTTCTTTTTTTCTGATTGGACAACATACATGGTCACTGTGGTCTTCAATTGGTCAAAGTTCAGATATTGGTTGATTCTGCTCAAATTTGGCAAAACAGTTTTATGATTGATTAACCCTACTGCAACTTCTGTTTCATGAGTAGACAAGAAGTCACTGTAGGCAGGCTTCTGATAGGTTGAAATTTAGATTTGATCCCTATTTGTTGAAATTGCTATGGAGGTGCAATACGGCATTGAAATCTCTTCCTGATGCAACATCTGTGACTACTGGGCAGTTTTGGGGAATTCTGTAACAGTTTAATAAATTTAACATTGTGTTTTGGTAATTATATTTTTTTGTTTTCAAATACTTAAATTTGCAAATAGCAACACAAGATGTAGTTTATATGAAAGACTAGGAAACAATGGTATTAATATATATTAAGTTGGTGGTACTCTTTGCAATAGACAATGAAACTGCATACTAAAATTCATGAAATTTCCAAAATAAAATTTCATTATGTCACATTTCAGGCTTCGGATATATTAAGCATATGTCTGGTTGAAGCAGATATATCATCCTATAGACGATAACTATCGGATAACATGTAAAATGACACATGGTTTGTATACCTGAGCTACAGGTAACTGATATAACATGTAAAATGACACATGGTGTGTATACCTGAGCTAGAGGTGACTGATATGATAACATGTAAAATGACACATGGTTTGTATACCTGAGCTACAGGTGACTGATATAACATGTAAAATGACACATGGTTTGTATACCTGAGCTACAGGTGACTGATATAACATGTAAAATGACACATGGTTTGTATACCTGAGCTACAGGTGACTGATATGATAACATGTAAAATGACACATGGTTTGTATACCTGAGCTACAGGTGACTGATATGATAACATGTAAAATGACACATGGTTTGTATACCTGAGCTACAGGTGACTGATATGATAACATGTAAAATGACACATGGTTTGTATACCTGAGCTACAGGTGACTGCTATGATAACATGTAAAATGACACATGGTTTGTATACCTGAGCTACAGGTGACTGCTATGATAACATGTAAAATGACACATGGTTTGTATACCTGAGCTACAGGTGACTGATATGATAACATGTAAAATGACACATGGTTTGTATACCTGAGCTACAGGTGACTGATATGATAACATGTAAAATGACACATGGTTTGTATACCTGAGCTACAGGTGACTGATATGATAACATGTAAAATGACACATGGTTTGTATACCTGAGCTACAGGTGACTGATATGATAACATGTAAAATGACACATGGTTTGTATACCTGAGCTACAGGTGACTGATATGATAACATGTAAAATGACACATGGTTTGTATACCTGAGCTACAGGTGACTGATATGATAACATGTAAAATGACACATGGTTTGTATACCTGAGCTACAGGTGACTGATATGACATGTAAAATGACACATGGTTTGTATACCTGAGCTACAGGTGACTGATATGATAACATGTAAAATGACACATGGTTTGTATACCTGAGCTACAGGTGACTGATATAACATGTAAAATGACACATGGTTTGTATACCTGAGCTACAGGTGACTGATATGATAACATGTAAAATGACACATGGTTTGTATACCTGAGCTACAGGTGACTGATATAACATGTAAAATGACACATGATTTGTATACCTGAGCTACAGGTGACTGATATAACATGTAAAATGACACATGGTGTGTATACCTTAGCTAGGGGTGACTGATATGATAACATGTAAAATGACACATGGTTTGTATACCTGAGCTACAGGCGACTGGTGCTACGTTGTTAACAGAACATTTAGACCCTGCGGGACAGTTGGTACAGCTGGCATCCCCTAATAGTGAATAGGTACCGGACGCACAGTCTGCTGGTGTTGATCTGAAAACACATGAAAAGGAAATTGTAGTAATGCATCGAGTTTAAACACTTCCCAGACTACTGATATTAGCAAGATTTCCTAATATCCAGCCTTGTGTTCAAATTCAATGATTCTATTACATAAAACAGCTTAATATAGGACAGTTTACACTATTATTGTGTTAACAGGGGATCATCGTAGCTTAATTAGACAGATTGTGTCAGTCAATTCTTCCCCAATTAAAAATTAGAAAAAAATTAGCAAGAAATGTGAAATATTACTGAAACTACTTTCTTGACTATTTTTCTCAATAAGTTGACCAACAAATGGAAAGCAATATACCATATTTATCCTGTTATAAGCCCACGGGGCTTCCACATCATTGCATGACTTCAAGTAGTGAGCAGGGCTTACTATATTAGGTAGAATAAACTAGCATTTATTGGCAATTCTACTGAACTGAAATTTATTTGAGTGGGCTTATTAGCAGGCATTGGCTTATTGCTGGGTAAGTGTGGTAATATACCAATGCAGATTTGGTACAGGAGAATTCCATTGCAGTATAATGTACTTACGCAGGGTTGGTACAGGCCTTTCCAGCCGGACAGGATTCACAGAGGGCCTGGTTGCTGTCTGCTACTTTATCTGTATAAACAAAGAAAGTAATTGTTTCATGTGATTATGCCAAAATCTGTATAAGATATATTTAATCCTTGTTATACTGTCATCATTCCTCCAAAGTTATTTTGTCATTACAGAGGTGTTTGGCAATACATAGAGAATGATGTTTAAAAAACAATCGAGGGAAAGGGTCCATAGGATATATCAGCAGTAAGCTAGGTGGCTTATTAAAGGTTTAGTACAGTCTGTGGAGGGTAATAGTAGAGGTTTTCTGATGTATATCAATGACTGACTTTACAATGGTAGGACACAGGTCAGAAATATACTCCAACAATACACATTGATGGAAGATCAAGAGAACTAGTACAGCCTATACGTGTTGTTCAATTCTTTGGATCATTGTCAATGCAATTTGTTCAAATGAAATGGAAGATGTAGGCATTTCCCCCTCTGGCTTAACAACTGCGAGTACTGTTGAAAAGTGAACCCTGGCATTACTTCAATTCATGACCAATTTCAGTCTGGGAACACTTACCATAATCTTCTGCCCACACACATACAATGTACACACACTCACAGTCTCTTCTATCACAGCCTGGGAACACCTACCTAAATCTTCTACCCACACACATACACACACACTCAGTCTCTTCTCTCTCAGTCTGGGAACACTTACCTAAATCTTCTACCCACACACATACACACACTCACAGTCTCTTCTATCACAGCCTGGGAACACCTACCTAAATCTTCTACCCACACACATACACACACTCACAGTCTCTTCTATCACAGCCTGGGAACACCTACCTAAATCTTCTACCCACACACATACACACACTCACAGTCTCTTCTATCACAGCCTGGGAACACCTACCTAAATCTTCTACCCGCACACATACACACACTCACAGTCTCTTCTCTCTCAGTCTGGGAACACTTGCCTAAATCTTCTACCCGCACACATACACACACTCACAGTCTCTTCTCTCTCAGTCTGGAAACACTTACCTTAATCTTCTGCCCACACACATATACACACACTCACAGTCTCTTCTATCACAGCCTGGGAACACTTACCTGAACTACATAATGTACAGGTGGAGGAACCAGTAGGTGCTACATAACCAGTTGCGCAAGGTGTCGGGGTCGAAGTCGCATTTCCACAAAAGTGCCCTTCTGTACACTGCGTACAGGAAATGGATCCTGTAACAGAAAATAGCAAATGATACATTATTTTTTTACAGGAAAGAATTATGGGAGAATGTGTAGAGTAAAGTGGAAGGTTTGTTGATAAGGTCAGAAATCTAATCTGGGTCCCTCGGGAAAACAGACCCTGGGTCCAAATTCCAAAAAATGAGATATTCCAACATTTGAATTAGAAGAGTTCAAATGTGTCATCAGGGGTGAATGAGTTAAAACCTGGATATACCTACCTGCTGAGGAGCTGTAAGTTCCTTCTTCACAAGGTAAGCATTTCCCGGATCCGAGCGTACTGTACAGTCCGGCAACACACTGGACTGGAGCTCCGTGGTTTGGACATTCATTTGCAGCTGGACATTGGGAGCATGAGGTCTGGCCTGGAACAGAAAAACAAATCCATATCTTACACAGACAAGGTACGGGACAATTAACAGGCAATATCTTACACAGACAAGGTACAGGCAATTAACAGGCAATATTTTACAAAGACAAGGTACAGGCAATTAACAGGCAATATGTTACACAGACAAGGTACAGGACAATTAACACAGACAAGGTACAGGACAATTAACACAGACAAGGTACAGTATGATTAACAGGCAATATCTTACACAGACAAGATTCAGGACAATTAACAGGCAATATCTTACACAGACAAGGTTCAGGACAATTAACAGGCAATATCTTACACAGACAAGGTATAGGACAATTAACAGGCAATATCTTACACAGACAAGCTACAGGACAATTAACAGGCAATATCTTACACAGATAAGGTACAGGCAATTAACAGCCAATATCTTACACAGACAAGGTACAGGACGATTAACAGGCAATATCTTACACAGACAAGGTACAGGACGATAAACAGGCAATATCTTACACAAACAAGGTACAGGACGATAAACAGGCAATATCTTATACAGACAATATACAGGACAATTAACACAAACAAGGTACAGGACAATTAACAGGCAATATCTTACACAGACAAGGTACAGGACAATAAACAGGCAATATCTTATACAGACAATATACAGGACAATTAACAGGCAATATCTTACACAAACAAGGTACAGGACAATTAACAGGCAATATCTTACACAGACAAGGTACAGTATGATTAACAGGCAATATCTTACACAGACAAGGTTCAGGACGATTAACAGGCAATATCTTACACAGACAAGGTACAGGACGATTAACAGGCAATATCTTATACAGACAATATACAGGACAATTAACACAGACAAGGTACAGGACAATTAACACAGACAAGGTACAGTATGATTAACAAAAAATATCTTACACAGACAAGGTTCAGGACAATTAACAGGCAATATCTTACACAGACAAGGTTCAGGACAATTAACAGGCAATATCTTACACAGACAAGGTACAGGACAATTAACACAGACATTGCTATCTCTTAATTGGATTGTTGATGTTCCACATGCTGACTCGAATGTTAATACTTAAACTTTACTGTAGATAATAATATCCCTCGTCCATTTTGCATACTTGCCTACTCTCCCTATTTTTGAGGGAGATTCCTGAAATTGGACCGTAAAATTGAGCATTTCCAACCAGTGAATTTGCTAAATTATTCCTATTTTCTAAGATCTGATGATTTCATCTGAAAGAACAGCTCAAAAGATGCCATTTACATGTGTATATTTTACCTGGGGGTATTTCTACATATCTTATTTATGTTTTTGATTATGAGCATGTGCAAGATAATCTCCCCCATGGAAATTTAAAAAGTTGGCAAGTTTGATTTTGATTATTGATATTCCACAATTTGAATTACACTCTTTAAATAGGTCATCACCATGGACACAAAGCTTACTTTGAATACAATATTTCTGTTCATTTGACCTTGAATGCAAATTTTCACAGATCTTACCTGGAGTTCGGGTATTCTAAATATTTAACCTAGCATTCAATAGAAAATGATCGAGTTTGTATTGGATATCAAAGTTATTTAACATGACCTGCTGATACTGGTAGTTTGACCTTGAACATGTGACCTTGAAATGTGATCGTGAACATGTGACCTTTACTAACCTGTGGAGGAGGTGTAATATCCGTCGGAACATACAGTGTGAGCGGTGGACGCGGAGGGACATGAGCTTCCTATGGGACAGTTCGTACAGGTTGTCTGTCCTCCCGTCGAATACGTTCCTGCAGCACAGTTGGAGGCGACGGATGCTGTACATGACTTCCCAGCCGGACAGTCATCACACGATGTCTGTCCAGTCTGTTCCTGGTACTTCCCTGACGGGCAAGCCTACAACACAAACATGAAATATAACTGGCTACTCGTGAGATACAAATCACAATTACAATGCAACATAGTTACTCTGGAAGAACTTGAGTGGTGGTATAATCTATATACATCAAGTGAAGATAGTTTCTGCCATGGCATGTCATCAGAGCTTTGATCAATTGAGATGTGAAATAATTTAATTATTATTCTCTGGACCATTTTTGTGTATTCTAAGTGCAAAAAAGAATTTAAACGAAAGGTATCTATATATGCTTCTAAAATGGAGTATACACCACTCAGTCCCGAATAGGATGTGTATCAGTTTTGATTTCCATGGGTTAAACATGCTAACACTTTTGAAATCTGCCATGTAGTTGGGGAGGATATGTCATTTGAAGCAAATTCGCCATTTTGACCCATTTTACCTTGCCCTTGAACCCACATGAGGAATAGGGCCCCTTGATATGTACCACTTTTGATTCTCATAACTAAGCATGTTATCACTATAATTTAGTTGATGACTGCCGAGAAATTGGAGAAGATTTAAGCAAATCAGCAATTTTGACCTCTTTCATCCAGCCTCTCAACTCTAATGAGGGTAAGCCCCTAAATTTGGCTTAATCTTCAGGATTCTAGCCCCAAATTTTGGTTGATTTCTGTTTGGGAGATGTTATTTAATGCAAAGGTCACACTGATACATTGTACATGCTGTAGCAGGTGATCTTATAAGAGGCGTGACTCCTTTGAATATCTAATAACAAGGGAGGTAATTTACAATATCTGACAATAAGGATGGAAACCACATTCAATATCTAGAAATATCAGGTAAGTGAGGTAACTTTATGTACCTGAAAACAAGGGAGATAACTCTCATTATCTAACAACACAGGGATAACTTACTGTACAATCACTCGAGGCAGTGTTCCCGGTGGCAGCACTGTACGTCCCTGCTGGACAGTCGATCGCAACAGCACCGGCTCCTGTACAGCTAAATAAAGCAAAATCAACATTAAATAAATGGTCCGGAATCTCACAATGGTTTCTTATCATACAAGCTATTCGGATTAATATGTCTCACCTGTGCACAGCTTTGACCATCAATGCACATGTCAAGTTTGGTTGGTGTAGCACTTTTAGTTTCAGAGAAACTAACTTAAACGCAAAAACTTAATGTTGATGGGGATGCTGACGAAGGCAATGGACCATGACAGGTAGGCCGCATCCAGCATTAGATGCATGGGTTGAGATGTGCTTTCAATGAAACTAACTTAAACGCAAAATCTTAATTATGACACTGCTGTTGCCAGAAAAAGCACCACCCTAGTCTAGCTTCCGTTACCTCATCGCGGTGAGACAAAAATAAATAATTTTTAAAATCCATGATTTTGATTGGCAATATCTGAAGTGATTTTCAGTAGATATCATAACTTTATAGTAATCACCTGTAGTATACCCTCATTGTCTCCAGTAAATCACATCTGTCTTGACTCATTAAACCTCCCTCGTCAAAGAGTTATCGTTGGTTAATTTACCTCCCTTGTTGATCATGAGTTACCTCCCTCTAGTTAATGTTAATTATTTGGGGGGAAGGATGTTGTATTATCATATCTTTTTTGTGTGTCCCTTATGATAAGTTAATTGGTTTTCAGCTGCCCTTCATGAAAAAAAAACATCCCTTGTCGGAGAAAATAGTTAGTTTACCTCACTTGCTTAATATGAGTTATCTCCCTTCTGGACATTAACTCATTCACCCCTGAAGTTTCATAATGAACTATTCCAACCTTTGAATTAGAAGAGTTCAAATGTGTCTTTAGGGGTAAATGAGTTAAGCATTAGTTTTTTCAAGCCCCTTGTCAAAGAGTGAATCATTCTTTAACTGCCTATGTTGAGTTACCTACCTTGTTTAAATCAATCATTGACCTTTATGTGATCATTATCTTACCTCCCTTGTTGAGTTAAGCCCCTTATGGCAACTGGAGTAAATCATTAGTTAAAATGTTGAATATGTCCAATGTCAATAAGCTAAGGTGATCAGGCTATATTATAGGCAAAACAGTTTACTGGGAAATGGTGGGTGAATAATTGATGACACATTCTAGTGCTTCTAGTTTACCGCTCTATGGGTACAACATACAGGCTTTTAATATCTATATTGATCTACATGTACAGCACAGCAGTCATGTCAAACGTAGTTTATAAACACTGAAAACAAAACCTGTCTGTCAGAAATAATAGGAAAATCTTCTTCGAAATGTAATTGCAGATCAACGTAGTCTGGTTCATGATGCAAATTTTCAGTGGAATGCATGAAACTCCTCAGATCCAACACTAAGTCAATTTATTTGTGTTTCAGTTTATTTAATAAAATGCATAATAAAATCTTTTTGAACTTATAATGTTCTATAATGAAGTATAATTTCAAATTAACGATCAGATTCTCAAAGACCACCAAATCAAACACGTCTAATATAAGTCTGACCTATATTCACAACACACAACTGGCTATTGCACCATACACAGAAAATGGCTGCCATTTTGTATTTCCATTTCTGTTCCGTATATTGGTATAAGTAATTATAAATATAATATACCTAGCTCCCAGTCTCTGACTACTTACAATAGAGGCCCAGTCAACATGTTTAAATGCCTCGGATTCACATCAAATAGCTAATCATAACATTGAAAAGCCGAGGGATATACAATGTATATATTAGGGGGCACCTGTCCTGTATTTTTATTAAAAGTCTAAGTACATCTATATTTTATACCTGCTTTTCAATACATATTTATTACATATCAATCTGACACATTTATGTAGCGTTTGATTTATCTTCAGCTGTTTTCCCTCCTAACAGAACACGTCCTGCTATTTTTATTTCATTTTTGTTTATTTAGACTCAGAGATGCGCAGATGACAAGAGTTCCTTTGCTTGGACTCAAAAGGACAGATAGACACACGTATGTATATATTAAAACGAATTATGTTCTCATTGTTCGGTACATATATAAAAAGTCAAAAAGGATCAGAAACATGTAGATCTGCAATGCTAACGCAATTGCTTCACAGATCTTTAGGATTCTTTTTAACTTTTCATATAAATATATATATTATATATATAGGGTAAGAATGATGAATATTTAATAAGACTAATTAAAACAAACCTAAGAATTTTTTTTAATTTTGATTCACAGGGACAAATGGATATAATTTTCTTTTATTTGAACTCACAGGGACAGACAGATACGTTTTTTACTACCTGTAGGTTTACGGCCCCCTATCGGGCCGTCTCACCTGTATATAGCTTATCTAACTCTACGTTTTCTTGTCCTGGGAAATGTGTTACATAAACAGACCACCTTTTACCATTAACTGTGCTGAGCCTATCTAACAATGAACTATAATGGGTCTTACCTACACCTATGTCAGTAACACTCACCTGACATTACATTACAGGTATTGGCTTTTAAAAATATACCTTAACCAAGGAAGTTAATAGATATTATATAAATACAGGTAGATTTTTATATTTTGTACTCTGAGAATATTCTGGTATGAAATAAGCGGAGATTATGCAGCGTAATGGTAAAACAGTACATTGATTATAAAAACGTTATCAATCTACAGATCTCAAACGAAAACCTGTTATACAACACCTTCAGGATATTAAACCCACTGTAAGAACAGTGTCAAATTAAAATGTAATATACCTTATATCGTAATTTGCCTTTGCCTACTTCAGGCACAATTCTACATCAATCAGCACATCCTGGTGATTTGTTTTAACTTAAAATTTACTCTTTTTAAAACAATTATGAAACAGGTTTAATCAATTTAAATTAATCCCTTTGATTGACCCAGATGGAACAAGTCAGGGTTTTTAAACATGGTACCCGGGGAAAACACACTATACAGGCAGGTAACTTGATCCGTACCTTTTCTCATTTCTTTTAATTCTATGATTGGCAGAAAAAAGGGATGGGATTTTTACCTTAGGAGATCTGCATTTTCACCTTTGTTTACGACCCATACTGAATAGACTAAAAAATTAACCACTTTATTGTGTTTTGACACTTGGAACACTGTTGTTGATTATATTTTTGTTTATTTTATCTCTATTATCTTTCAAAAAAGCCCTGCAAGGTATATTTTTCTGTAAGTAATGATTTATTAAAGCTAAAATCATGCCAGGAAAAAAACATTTCCAACACTTGATTAGTTTTTGGCAGTGGTATGGGTATCCTTAACCCTAACTTAGTTTTAATTGGCTTATAAAGTTATTCCCTAATCCTCCATCACGTTTTGGTACTTTTCATGACCTCTTATAATTTCAACTGATCCATTTTTGTTTCAAGAATATTTATCTGATATTAAATATCACCTGATTTACCATGATAAGGACAGGTCTTAGTGCCGAATCCGGAAAATGTCCATGGTCAACAGTACAGTGATATCAATATGATATTGTCAATAAGGGCTGTGAAGATTTATCTCTTTTAATTCTGTATTCAATTAAATCTGGAAACATAAGATACAACAATGGACAACCGTGGTATTGCAATATCATCTTCAAACAAATAAGGAACGATCATGGTTTAATATGGCATGACCACAAAAAGGTTTAAAAGGTTGCTACTAGTAGTGTTGTCCACGTTCGAACAATAGCAGCAAGTCCTACAAGTAACTGTAACAGTTAAACATTATTGTAAAAAAAATACCAGATTCACTACATAGAAATATTGTTCTCTGATAAAATTCCCATTTTGTTTTCAACATTATTTGTTGATTAATCACATAAAAATGTGAACCCTTATTATCATATTTTATTTAAATCAAGTACCGAAATCTATTCTAAAAACGACCTGAAAATTCCAAATAAAAGAGCCTTGCATTTTCGGCTACCAATTGTTAGTACCAAGTTAAAAGCTACCATACTTTTAGAAAATTATTTCTGACTTCAATTGCTGTTAAATTGAGGTCTGATTTAAAAGTAGAAACATTCCTAAATACACTGGCAATACTTATTATTTACTTAAAACATTAAACATGCTTTAAATTCTTCTATATATTTTTACCTTGAATGTGTAAACCAAATACCAGGTTCTATACAATTTGTCAATAGATATGTTGAAGTTGTGAAAAGCTAAATATCCATAAGTATATCTGTCAATAAGTCTAACAAAGGATTGAAGAAAAAGATGTTCCGGATAATTTCCTTTCACACTTAACTAAGCAAGTCCTACGTTTTGTAATATCCTTGAGATTTCAATACAGGCGCCCCATGGCAAGACGAGAACGGGTTATAAAATTGGTTCTCTAAATCAAACCTTTCAAGTTACTTTGTAGAAACAAATTAGGATTTTTGGGAGAATGCCAACTGCGTCATATACCTGTAATATAAGTTTACAACCTGCACCCATTTAAATTTGTTATATATACCTTAAAATTAGTAGACCATATTTACAGTAAAGGTAGGCCGAACAATTCCAGGTAAGGGTGTCAGATTTATACCAAATAGTCTGATCGAAGTAAACAAAATACAATGCTAGCTGATTAGCATTTCACAAACAAGCACATAGTTTTTGTCTAGATGTGGCTCTAGTTAAATGTCTATAGCGGGCACCTGTCCTTAAAGGACAACTCTGTATATAGGACTTATTTTTGTCTGTAATAGACACCTCCATAAAAGGAAAATCGTAAATTTCCATGGGACATTAAATTTTGTTTATTTCGTGGATAACAAAATTCCACGAAATTAAATCCGAAATATATTGTCCTTGAAACAGGTTAGTAAATGAAACCACAAAATGTTTACCCCATGAAAATAAAACATTTTACAGTATATATATACGGGACACCTGCCTGTTTGAATACCCACGAATAAACACCACATGTCTATAAAAATACTTTTTCATAAATACCTGTTTATAAAGAACAGCTAACTATACAGAATACATGTCTATGAAGAATACCTATTTATAAAGAACACCTGTCTATAAAGAAAATTTTATTTCACAGAATGTAGGACTTTTTGTTTCTCTGGTTATATATCTCCAGCACACACGCAAGCATACACACATATGGAGATATTAGCCAGGTGGCATAGGACTAGTAGTTAGCAACTGTTAAGGCAGCTCCTGCGAATTCCTCAAAATTGTATTAATTAATGTATATGCTAATTGTATTAATTGTATATCTATGTACTGTAAAGTGCTTTAGAGTGACTTATGTTAGCTAGATAGGGCGCTATATCAAATGTTGTATATTTATTTTTATTTATTTATATTAAAAGTATCTACATGTCCATGTATATTGAATTTATGTGAAAGTGAAATTTTATTGTGTCGGAGGCAAAATCAGAATACATAAGTAATAAAACTCTGTCTGAAAAGACAACTGTTTATCTTGTATATGAAACAAAACTTGTCCACAGCGGTCCTATCTGTAAACTACACCTGCCTATATAATATTACATCTGTACATAAAGAACGCAATATGGTATTAGAAGCAACGTTGATTGTGTCTTTAAAATCAATATTTTGCTCAATTATTTTTACCTTGTTTGACAGCTATAGAGATCTAAGGAAATGTACTTACTATTTTCCTTGAGGACACACAGCACATGCAGACGCTCCTGAATCGAAATACTGTCCCGCCACACAACTAGTGGCACAGTCAGTCCCACAGTTACACTGGGCTGTAAAACAAGGGAGATAACTTCAAATATATATCATTATAACACAATATAATGTTTTAATTTCAATTAAAAAAAAATCTGTTATCTTTTATGTTTTCAGGTGTGACGGTCATCTTCAAATTTTCAGTGGCTGTGTTTCCTAACGTTGTATAAACCATGAAGTGTAGATGCACGATATCAGGAGACCATAACCCTTGGATTTCAAAGATGAAGTGAATGTTTGAACTCATGATTACAGGAGTTTTCTGTTAGAAATGAATCATATGAGCAGACCTTGTGAAATTCTTATAATTTATACCACACACGCAACAACACGAACAAGGCAAAGTATTGAAAGCAATCAAAAGTACCCCACCACAAGACAAATTTTAATATTTAAAATGTGCAAAGGGACATAACTCTGTATGTTTGGGGTACAAGACCTGGGCCCGTATTCATGATACCATTACCATGCTCAAACTCGGAGGCTGTGCTCAAGATAAATTTCTTGTTCTGGTATTAATAAACTCACAAATTTCTTCTTTTGTCAGTGTTATGGAAAAAGTTTGATTGAAGCTAGAATCCAAAATGGATGGTTTGAGCTCGAAATTCATGCTTGAGCATGAGAAATGTTTCATTAATATAAGCCCTGATTTCTGTGTTTGGCATTCCAATATTGTAAAAGAACTCACATACAAAGTTTGGTACATTGTAACGGACAGAGATACAAGAAACTTATGCAAAGTTAACAAGAAATGGTATTGCAAGAAATCCATAATCCCCGTCCAACTCTTGACAAAATTTAGTGTGAAAAGTGAACAAAGGGCTATAACTTTATAAAATGATCACGAGACTTGTTTTTTGTATGCGAGACTCCGCCATACCAAGATGAACTTGCATTAAAAAAATGTCCTAAAGTTCAGTCCTCTATAGTTGAAATGAAAACAAGAAATATTTGTTGAGAATTTTTGTCTACAATAAGTGACATAAATTATGTATGAATCTGTCAATTTCATTCTATGACATCAATGTCACCTATTCCGAGTAAAGTTCCAGCTCTTATATAACTATTAAACAGGAAATGTAACACTAGCTTATAGCCTGTATACATCTGATGACACTATTTTGTTGGGACTAAGGAATCGTGTGATCACTGGAGTTATATGACACCAGTTTGTTGGGGCTAAGGAATCGTGTGATCACTGGAGCTATATGACCCCATTTTGTTAGGACTAAGGAATCGTGTGATCACTGGAGCTATATGACACCTTTTTGTTGGGACTAAGGAATCGTGTGATCACTGGAGCTACATGACAACTAAGAAATCGTGTGATCACTGGAGCTATATGACACCAGTTTGTTAGTACTAAGGAATCGTGTGATCACAGGAGCTATATGACACCAGTTTGTTGGGACTTAGGAATCCTATATGACACCATTTTGTTGGGACTAAGGAATCGAGTGATCACTGGAGCTATATGCCACCATTTTGTTGGGACTAAGGAGTCATGTGATCACTGGTGTTAGGACTAAGGAATCGTGTGATCACTGGAGCTACATGACAACTAAGAAATCGTGTGATCACTGGAGCTATATGACACCAGTTTGTTGGGACTTAGGAATCAAGTGATATCATGTGATCACTAGAGCTATATGACACCAGTTTGTTGGGACTAAGGAATCGTGTGATCACAGGAGCTATATGACACCAGTTTGTTGGGACTTAGGAATCCTATATGACACCATTTTGTTGGGACTAAGGAATCGAGTGATCACTGGAGCTATATGCCACCATTTTGTTGGGACTAAGGAGTCATGTGATCACTGGTGTTAGGACTAAGGAATCGTGTGATCACTGGAGCTATACGACACCATTTTGTTGGGACTAAGGAATCGTGTGATTATATGACACCAGTTTGTTGGGACTAAGGAATCAAGTGATCACTGGAGCTATATGACACCAGTTTGTTAGTACTAAGGAATCGTGTGATCACAGGAGCTATATGACACCAGTTTGTTGGGACTTAGGAATCAAGTGATATCATGTGATCACTAGAGCTATATGACACCAGTTTGTTGGGACTAAGGAGTCATGTGATCACTGGTGTTAGGACTAAGGAATCGTGTGATCACTGGAGCTACATGACAACTAAGAAATCGTGTGATCACTGGAGCTATATGACACCAGTTTGTTGGGACTTAGGAATCCTATATGACACCATTTTGTTGGGACTAAGGAATCGTGTGATCACAGGAGCTACATGACACCAGTTTGTTGGGACTAAGGAATCATGTGATCACTGGAGCTATATGACACCATTTTGTTAGGACTAAGGAATCGTGTGATCACTGGAGCTATATGGCACCATTTTGTTGGGACTAAGGAATCATGTGATCACTAGAGCTATATGACACCAGTTTGTTGGGACTAAGGAATCGTGTGATCACTGGATCTATATGACACAATTTTGTTGGGACTAAGGAATCGTGTGATCACTGGAGCTATATGACCCCAGTTTGTTGGGACTAAGAAATCGTGTGATCCCTGGAGCTATATGGCACCAGTTTGTTGGGACTAAGGAATCGTGTGATCACAGGAGCTATATGACACCAGTTTGTTGGGACTAAGGAGTCGTGTGATCACTGGAGATATATGACATCGTTTTGTTGGGACTAAGGAGTCGTGTGATCATTGGAGCTATGTGACACCAGTTTGTTGGGACTAAGGAATCGTGTGATCACTGGAGCTATATGACACCATTTTGTTGGGACTAAGGAATCGTGTGATCACTGGAGCTATATGACACCAGTTTGTTGGGACTTAGGAGTCGTGTGATCACTGGAGCTTTATGACACCATTTTGTTGGGACTAAGGAATCATGTGATCACAGGAGCTATATGACACCATTTTGTTGGGACTAAGGAATCATGTGATCACTGGCGCTATATATGGCACCATTTTGTTGGGACTAAGGAATCGTGTGATCACAGGAGCTATATGACACCATTTTGTTGGGACTAAGTAATCGTGTGATCACAGGAGCTATATGACACCATTTTGTTGGGACTAAGTAATCGTGTGATCACAGGAGCTATATGACACCAGTTTGTTGGGACTTAGGAGTCGTGTGATCACTGGAGCTTTATGACACCATTTTGTTGGGACTAAGGAATCGTTTGATCACTGGAGCTATATGACACCATTTTGTTGGGACTAAGGAATCAAGTGATCACTGGAGCTATATGCCACCATTTTGTTGGGACTAAGGAATCGTGTGATCACTGGAGCTATATAACACCATTTTGTTGGGTCTTAGGAATCGTGTGATCACTGGAGCTATATGACACCAGTTTGTTGGGACTAACGAATCATGTGATCACTGGCGCTATATATGACACCATTTTGTTGGGACTAAGGAATCATGTGATCACTGGCGCTATACATGACACCATTTTGTTGGGACTAAGGAATCGTGTGATCACTGGAGCTATATGACACCATTTTGTTGGGACTAAGGAATCGAGTGATCACTGGAGCTATATGCCACCATTTTGTTGGGACTAAGGAGTCATGTGATCACTGGAGCTATACGACACCATTTTGTTGGGACAAAGGATTCAGGGGATCACGGGAGCTATATGACACCAGTTTGTTGGGACTAACGAATCATGTGATCACTGGCGCTATACATGACACCATTTTGTTGGGATTAAGGAATCGTGTGATCACTCGAGCTATATGACACCATTTTGTCGGGACTAAGGAATCGAGTGATCACTGGAGCTATATGACCCCATTTTGTTGGGACTAAGGAATCGTGTGATCACAGGAGCTATATAACACCATTTTGTTGGGACTAAGGAATCGTGTGATCACTGGCGCTATATATGACCCCATTTTGTTGGGACTAAGGAATCATGTGATCACTGGCGATATATATGACACCATTTTGTTGGGACTAAGGAGTCATGTGATAACTGGAGCTATATGACACCAGTTTGTTGGGACTAAGGAATCGTGTGATCACAGGAGCTACATGACACCATTTTGTTGGGACTAAGGAATCGTGTGATCACTGGAGCTATAAAGCACCATTTTGTTGGGACTAAGGAATCATGTGATCACTGGAGCTACATGACACCAGTTTGTTGGGACTAAGGAATCGTGTGATCACAGGAGCTACATGACACCATTTTGTTGGGACTAAGGAATCATGTGATCACAGGAGCTATATGACACCAGTTTGTTGGGACTTAGGAATCAAGTGATCACTGGAGCTATACGACACCATTTTGTTGGGACTAAGGAATCGGGTGATCACTGGAGCTACATGACACCATTTTTTTGGGACTAAGGAATCATGTGATCACTGGAGCTATATGACACCAGTTTGTTGGGACTAAGGAATCGTGTGATCACTGGAGCTACATGACACCAGTTTGTTGGGACTAAGGAATCATGTGATCACAGGAGCTACATGAAATCATTCAAATTCATGTAATAATACAGTATTAACTATTGAGATTAAGGTAAAATATTTGCCCAGCTGGGGTGTATTGATATCGAAAAATGTGTATTGAGACATCATTAAAGTTTGTGTGTGTGTTATACATTGATATAACAATTAACTAAAAGAGTCCTATCATTATTTTCAAAAAAAAAATCCAAAACTGAATAGCGAATCATGTGTTGTGCAATCCACAGTATTTCTATAGAGAGCAAGTAGAATTATAAACGATTTCAATACACACACTTGAAATTCATATTGGTATTGACAACCTTAAATTTACGACTGTGACCAAAAGTAATTATCATTTAAAATACGAGCCGTCAATGTCCCCGTGTGTGTATACAGAGTTTAGATTTCTGCCTTACACCGACGGGACAATAAACAGGTATTTAGTATATAGTCTGTGTGATGACAAGGTAATAAGAAATCAAGGGATTTCTAAGTCTGTGTAATGGTTCCTACATGTTGCGTGTTTTGAAAGGTTTATAATAGTGCCCAGGTAGCTAGCCGGAGTATCATTGATAGGGCCGCCATTTTCACACAGCAGATCTAATCATTGTACCATGATCAGCCTATATCCTATGAGTATACCATGGTACTTAAGTAAGTGTCCCTAATATAATATAACATTACAAAATTCTGTACCCTTAGGTACTTAGTTACACAGGGCATAGTTACACAGGGCAATTGTTGAAACTGGGGGTACAACCAAGCGTTTTGGGGTGAAAACCCTCATTTGCGTATTCCTGGGAACACTGTTTAGTATGTCATCTTACTGATTAAACTGTTGCCTTTAACCATACAAATGTTCTTTATTCCATAATCCATTCCAAAGATATTACCCATCTTCTCTGACTAAACCAAGATATTACCCATCTTCTCTGACTAAACCAAGATATTACCAATCTTCTCTGACTAAACCGAAGATATTAGCCATCTTCTCTGACTTAACCGAGATATTACCAATCATCTCTGACTAAACCGAAGATATTACCCATCCTGACCAAACCAAAGATATTACCAATCTTTGCTGACAAAACCAAAAATATTACCAATCTTCTCTGACTAAACCAAAGATATTACCCATCTTCTCTGACTAAACCAAGATATTAGCCATCTTCTCTGACTTAACCAAGATATTGACCAATCTTCTCTGACTAAACCAAAGATATTACCAATCTTCTCTGACAAAACCAAGACATTTAGTCCTTCTAAGACACCAAATTAAAAATACATATACCATGTTATCATCCAAATAAACACATTAGTGTGGACAAGCGTGGCAATACAACATTTGTCAACCAGTTTTCCATGGCATAAAAATCTACCATGGCACTGAGCTATCCTTTCAGCCTATCATACACCACCATACTGGAGACATTGGTCTGTGGGCTGACTCACAATGACATGTACATGATACTTACCATAGAACAAAACATTCACAATGACATAAATACTAAGTCATACAGCACCAAACCAAATTTTTAATTTTTTTCTAATAAAACATAGCTCAATGGTAAGAATTTTCATTCGTGAATGATTTCTGAGGGATGTTTTTCAGGTGAATACTTCACAACATTTTCTAAATTTCTATGAATCCCTTACATGTTCTAAAAGACAGTATGGGTCCTCAAAATCTGGGTGATTCCCACAGGAAAAGCATGAGTCTAGCAATCAATTATCTGTGTCCCAAAAAATATTGTTTTTAATTTAAATAATTGTTACAACATTTTATTTTTTCTGTAGTATCTAAATAAGAACAAATTCTTTCTAATCTATATTTGTAGTCAATTTTACTGTTTTATGATGTGATCATTCTAGTCAGGAGCAAATAGATTCCTATATATGTATAAGTACAGTCCCTGCTCTAGTCGAGGGAATCGCTACATCTGTAAACATTTCTGGATCAGTACTTCTGTAAGAAATGGTGTTTTTCATTGTAGTGATACAACATAATGTAAACAATCTGCCTACCAAGGTAAACAATGAATCTATTAATATATAACAATCAATACCTTTGATGTTTTGTACAAATATACATGGCAATATGTATGCATTGTCAGTAAAACGGAATGTAGGTTTTAACAACTGTACATGTGCTGATACTGACTTAAAGGAATTGGAAGGAGCCGCTTATAAATTGGTGGCAGCAAGTTATATGGGTGTAATTAACTTAGTTTGGAGGATAAAAATTATTACAAAGTTCTCTTTTTTCAATCAAAATATATTTTAACGACAGCTAGCATGCCAGGAAAGTAAATACTTATTTTTGGTAAGATTCCTAGTGAACTTGAATTAAATAATGTGCATACTGTCTCAACAGAAAATGTTACTGTCTTTTAAGTCAAGTAAAAACGTAACTGAACTTTAACCCCTAATTGCAGCCTTGAACTTCAGCTACTTTTAACAGATAACTTCCACTGGAAGGTGCATCAGGTCGTTGGAATTGTTGCAAATTTTATCTAAAATGTCTCATGTTGAAGGTCAGTTCAACTGTTCCCAATAAAAAACATTCTTAAAGGGGACGTCATGCCCAATAAAAATATTGTAATTTAGGATAATTCAAAAGTTCATATACATATATTAAAATGGTCATGATCTAATATAATAAAACTTCAAAGATGAAGTCATTGAAATCACTTTTTTTTTAATTCCTTGGGAGTTATGTCCCTTTTTCAAAATTCCCTGACAAATGTTGTCTGCACAACTACTTCGGTTTAAGTCAAATTTTGTGAAGACTTCACAGATGCTACATCATCACACTCAGGAGTTGTGCACATACACGCTCATATTTTATAGGGGGATAAGCTTGATAATGTCTAAGTTAAAAAAAAAAATCCTGGTTAGGACTCATAGCTTTTATCTCAAAAATCTGAAGTTTGGAAGATAAAAGGTGTAAATATACCATATATATATATATGTAATTGATAAATGTTCTACTCTGCATAGTGTATGCCGCTAAAAATATTATTATCATACAGGTAGGCCATGTCAAATAATTTATTTCTGATACTTCTGAAAGGAAAAATGCACAGGCAGACCGGATTCGAACCCGGGACCCTCAGAATTCTAGACGGATGCTCTTCCAATTGAGCACCTCTCTCACTCAGGTCGCCGACGATCGACCCAGTCCAGTTCCGCAACATGAATTCCTTATCCCTTTTTCTACAACCCAGGTTCAGGTATCCACTTGCCTAGCATACACCAAATGCTTGAAACAAGGGTTGGCCACAGGAACCACTGTAACAGGAGAGGGAAAATGCACAGCCAGACAGGGGTTCGAACCAGGGACCCTCCAAACTCTAGACTTACGCTTTACCAATTGAGCTACTGATGCTTGGTCGCAGACGATCGAATCAGTCCAGTTCCACTACACTTCATTAGTTGAAGCCAAAATAAATCCTCTAACTGCGATCCATGGCTAAGAATGTCAAGTCACATTTAACTGTAAAGCGGACTAAAGCAAGTCTAACAAACCCAGGTTGGACTAGGCAGAAGAGGGGGGGGCGGTGTGTAACTATATATATGTCAATTTATAACGTGTTTATGAACTGCAGACTGAATATACCTGTAAGTCAATCAACTCACCTGTTACGAAGGTGTGGTGTGGCCAGCACACCAACACAAACGTCAGACATAATTCCACAAATTTGGTCATCGTGTTTCGTGAAGTCCTGTGTGCAAGTCCCGCTTGCAACACAACACGACGGCCGGGTACGAAAAGTAAACAACAAAAAATCACACAATTTAACAAGAGACCAGCTCTGTTTTAGACACGATCAACTATCTATACATTTAAATCCATTTTAAAGTGCTTGTCACATATTGAGATCGTAAGTGTGTCCTCAAAATAACGAAAGTTCTGCGACTCCTTATAGTTCCTTACGTCTTTCTCGAGTCTTGGCTAGCTCGGCACTGTCAATAAAACATGAATATTCATAAGTTTACCTTATTCGTACATCCGGGTAGGGAAAGTGCGCATGACTGTTTCTTGTTACCTGGATACAGATAAACAAGGTTACAATAGGTGAAATTTTACCTGTGCACAACAGGTAAAGACTCGAACAGAGATAACAGGCTAAGGTTTTCTAACCGACAGACAGACAATGGGCATAGACTATGACATACTACTTATAAGGCACTGCGGGCACCTGTCAAGTTAACGAGCCCACGTCTTGATAACTTTAGAAATAACCAGTTACACATATATGTACCATAGGTATACTGTCATTTTTCTGAAGTATTAATACTTTTCCAAATTATTTACACCTATACATTTAAAAAAACTTACATAATAAAATTTAAGAAGAATGAATTAACCCTATTTTTTTCGGGCTTCAATTATTGAGGCTTTAGTAAGAAAGCAAAACGTTTGGTATCTTACCAATAGGAGTTTTTAAAGGTTTCTAGATTTCCAAGAAATTCAAATTCCGAAACCAATTTTGACCTGGCATTAGTAATAAGTTAATTAACATAATTAATATCTCCAAGACATTTTTTGTATCTCATGTAAGAGTGATCTAGGGTTAATGTTGAAGAGTCCAATTAACATTTTCAATGAATTGGTAAAATCATTTGTTTTATTACAGACATTTATTGTGACATTTTCAAAAAATAAGCAGATGAAATATAATGGATCCCAGATTATTCTATATTACAGCGTTGGGAACCTCAGGATAATCGAAGAAGTGGAGCTGTTAATTGCGCACTAAAAGTTTTCCAAGTGTACATCGTAATAAATAAGTGAATGAAAATCACAGGAGTCAGAAATTCTGTCTATAACAATATTAGAAAAGTAAAAGATAATCACTAGGGTTATGTTGTTTTATGCATATCATAGATGATATTTTTTACATTACTTTTACTATTTATATTTGATAATTAACTGATAACTGATAAAACTTTTATTTTTTACTAAGGCGTGTCAAACGTCGCAATATTCAATAATATAACATTTATGTTCGAAATTTTATATTTGTATTCAATATTTGAAAAGATATGTGTATTATAAAATATTGAACATATATTGACAATTATTGAATATTGCAACCTTTGACACGCCATATTTTACGTAAACGGCAATGAGTAACTGAAACGCTTCTGTTTGAAAAGAATATCAAGACGGTGCATTTTTATTAGTCACGGGATATTTAATCAAATTTGAAAAATAACATTTTATTTCGTTTATCAATAAAATTGGTAATACAATTTAGGAAATAGAGTTTATAACAGAAAATTAATAACTAGAAAAATGGTTTAAGAGAATTCAGCAATGTAAAGGGACATCACACATTTTTTAAGGGACATTAAATCTGGACATAAAACTGAACTGGAAATCATTGTCCATTTTTTCGAAATATGCTATTTTGCATTAATTATTTTTAGTTTGGACAGAGATTTATTAATTTCTTTAAAAAATATGTTTCTGTACATTTTCTCCCACGCTTTCATATCCGAGAGTTAACCAAATTAAACGTGGTGCATAAACAAGAATCAGTATAGGCCTCAGTAAACTACACCTGCTTCATTAGAAGTATCCTTCACCCCTGGAATCAAAGGTTGTCATGTGCCGATAATTTAATATCTTATGAACGATTTTGACCTAATTTGACATGAACATCCCCTGCTATAAAAATATTCCACAATTCGTTATTGAATGAAGTGCCAATCTACAAAAGCCTCGTTCTTAGGTAATCATATTCCATCTGTCTAACTAGCTCGCGCACACATTCGAATCTTGATTGTGGATAGCTCTTGCTGTACTGCAGATGTATAACAACAACTTGACGACTTTTCCGCCTTTCGTTCCATCAATTCGTCTCGGTTGCAGCAGATACAACTTCCAGTATTTCTCTCTTCGTCAGCACCCGTATCAAAGTTTGCGGTAGTTCGCCTTTGCCGAGTGAAGATCTAGGGCAAATATTTCCTGCAATGCACATTAACTTATCCACATACAGCACCCTGCACTGTCTCTCAAAAATGGATGTTGCTGCAAGTTTGTCAGTGCCCGACATCTAACACGAAAATTAAGATATTCCAAGCAAGCCCGTGAATATTTAATCAAATTCGACACATAAAGAAATCAGGAAGCTGGAATGTTACTATCATGCCAGTCCTAATAAACACTTAGTTGAATTCAGCCTCTTATGAAAACAAAACCCAGTCGGCCAAGATGACCACAGCTTTTCCTCATGAGTATCTAAACAATCTTCTGGAAAATGTTGCCACCGAATTCAGCTTTGATATGGATAGCTTTGGACTTAAAATGCTACTGTCCGTCAGTATATTTTCCCCAGATTGATATGTGAGTCATATCCTATACACATTTCGCCATTACTTCAAGGAAACCCTGCTGAGGACGAGGTGATATATCACAGCGAGAAAAGACCTGACGTTAAAGTAAATAGTACTAAAAGTTCCCCCATCAACTTTGGATACTGTAAAATTCACATGGAAAAATTAACGTTCAGATTTTAACCGTGTTAGAGAAGAAAATACTTCTGTTCTAGCTGATTTGTGGGTGACGTCCATCAGAACAACTCCGTTTTTAAGCTTCCTTTTTAAGCTCTCAGCATGATTCAACACCAGTGATGAGGAAAACACCATTGAATCTTCAAGAGCACCATCACGTGGTCTTTTCAAATTTATCCAAAGTACTGAAATGATGGGTCAAATGTCCCCGCTGTCCCTGTGATATTTAACATGGAATTATAAAGCGGTGTTACTAACGAATAAAGGTCCTCGTAATTGACGACAGGTACAAAACTAATTGCTGCCTTATGATTTATCGTGTCTTACGGCACAGGGCTTCCATAGATGCAGATTGATGAATTGAATGGACGAGTGTTAAAGCTGTCATAATGTCCTCATTGGAAAATATGCTATTTCTGTTTGTGATCTAAAATGTAATGTGCACTGAGATTTTCCTTATCACTATTGCAGTTCTTTTATTTAGGGGAGTTAAATTACTTAGATATGACCTAGAATTACAATGCGGGTTGCGTCGATGAAGTAGAAGAAAGCAGACGACGCATATCCTTCCAGGTATAATCTTTCAATGGTTCATATTTTGCCCTGGTTTGATCAATATTGAGTTTGAATTACGTTTTTTAGCAATGCGGTATTCCAGCTCTTGTTGATTTTTTGTCATTGTGTAGATTTGAGTTTTAATCTTGTCAACTTCTTGTCTACCGAAGTTAGAATGCTTCACAATGTTTTATTGTAGGGAATTTAAGAGAAAGTTAACATTGGTGGCAGCGGTGGGATTATTAAACAGTTTAATATTATTTCAATTTATTCTGAAAAAATGTTATCCGAATCTTTTGAAAACAATACTTACACAGCCACATCAAAAAATATGAAACCTAACACAAGGGTAGACAACATTTTATCTCGCGGTCGAAACTGAATAATTGAGTGAGATCCTATTTAAACAATCCGATCGCTAGATCATCATCTGAAATATGTTATATTCGTCATCAATCAATTAGTGTTTGTGAGCGAAGAGTGCCCATTGTTATTCAATTGATTAACGGTTTCGGGTTGGTTTGGACCTTGTTTAAATAAAAATTGTATGTCACCTTATATGAAATAGAAAAGTGGAAAAAAGTGTCATTACACTTATGTTAATTTGATATCTGCTTCATAATCAATTATTTCAACACTAGCTACGTATACGGAAATGAAGTAATATGAACAACAGAATAGGTGCGGGAATAGGGGAGGGGTAGTGGATTGGTAGCAGTAGACACAAGGAATGAATAATATATCAATACACATGATATAATCAGATGTTAATATCATAATGCTTCGGGTGGAATAGAAAAGCACATGTAATAGCAGGCAGGTTAGTTGCAGCTTGCATTTTTTCAATATCATCACATCCATTGATTGTAAATTGACAAATAATCGAAGTTGTAAGCCTATATGGTGCATGCTCATATTGTTAAACTCAATAAAATAATGAAGAAAAAAACCTGTTTTGTTTATTATTCATACCACTTTGTGTCAGCTCTCAACAATTTGGGCTATTTCAGTGATCATTTTTACGAGTTAACGCAGAAAAACACGTCAAATACATATGCTAAATGGATATGTAAGTCACACGTCAAGAGTACATTGTATATGACGTCACGACATAAGATGGGCACCATACTTCTAACAATTGAGCATAGCAATACACCGATACGCGGACAACGTTTCGTTTAAGCTGAAGAGTTGCGTTTCTCAGAGAAAGAATGCATTTTTCCTTGACGTTCGTCTTTATGATGGTCTGCTTGGATATTACATTGCAGAGAACAACAACAGTGAATGAGGGTAAGTAAATAGTCGTTGAGATAAAAAAAAAAAAAAAAAAGGTATTCGAGATTGCCAAATTAAAAGTTCATAGAAATATACTGTCATGTGACCAGTCATGTGATCAGTAATGTAACAAACCGGTCAAGATAGGAGTAGTCTTGATATCGTGACACTTAAGCTTCCTGGTACCAGGTTATGTGGTAAAACCCAACTGGATTTCTTTTTCTTAGGCCTACCTTTTCTCAGTAGTAACATATTGTACATTCCATGATTTAAACATTCTTCCTTGACCTCAACAGTCAGTGCTTTAGCTTTGCAGTTTAAAGTAAGAAAAAAAGAGCATGTCTTTGCTGAGATGTATGGAAAACCGAAGCCTCCCCATCCCGTGCCTATAGAGCTTACATATAACGTTGATTCGTTGCACTATGGTATCCAGATATTCTGGACGCTCTCGGTTCCGGATTTTTTGTTTTGTTTTTTGCGTTGACTTTCAATCCCAGCTTTTTCTTCTTTGATACTGTATTTGTGCTATTTATATTTCATTTGGACATTCTGATTATGTTAAAAAAGGCCAAGGTTATATATGTACAATATAACGGTGTTTTAGTTTGCTCCATTGAATACGGTCGCTGATATGAGCTATTTCTAGTTTCGGGGGTTTTCGGAGCCGAAAAGAAAATCAACTAGCCTTAATTCTCGTTGTTTCGTATTTTCGCCATAAAAAGAGATAACAACGAGAATCAAAAGTGACTCAATCTCGTCTTTTCGCCCCGAAAAAAATTTAACAACGCAATTTGGCACACATCAGCCACCGTTATTTAATGTATATTCAGGTTTAGCTGACTACTGTGCGGACACATCTAAATGCATGTGCAAGGCAAGAAATGGTTCAAACGTTCCCAAGACCACAGAAGAACTGGAAATGATGATTGCAACACTGATATCGGACCTGAGAGTTGACAAGAAAAGGACGACCTTTTATAAAAGTAAGTTGATATCCGCAACTGATGACCGCACGTCATCAAGGAGTATCGGGTTCGTGGCTATATTTGTGATATGTGTTCCTGCAGTTTTCATCGTTGCCATGGATATATCTCGTTGTGTGTCTTGGTGGCGTCATGGCGATCCGAAACCCAAACATCGTAAGCCGAATGTTCGAAAGAAAAAGATCACCCAGAAGCCCACGAAGATCTCTGACGTATTTGATATAGTTTAGCATACTGTATCACGTGTTTTTGGTTTCGTTGTTACGCTTTTGAAAGTGCAAATGAAATATTCAAGCAATCTTGACAAATATGACTACTTTTGACTGTACTTGACGTACCGTCCTCGGAAAATACTGACATTTTATTTTGAATAATGTTTGAAATATTCATTAAACATATGAAGAAATGAAGCTCCTTTTCGAAAAAAATGTTTGTAGAAGCATAAAGCCAAACAAAGAAAACATTGCACTTCACCGTATAACTACGTCGTCCGTTTCGGGCACATCAGTAGCACTGTTGGTCAAACGATGGAAAATCCAGGTCGAAAGTGTTTGGCAACCTATGTATAGTGGAAAGGGAAAGTAACCTGTAAAACCCTTTATAAGGTTACAAGGTTTGGCTACAACATATACATATAGGATCTTACACGAGTTTCTACATAGAGATAGGAATAAGAGTGTGAACTCTCCAAACCAGACAGGGGTAACTGTCGTTGCCATATGGTCCATCTAGAATTATTGTTTGGGTAGGAGAAAGTTAGCTTAGAAGTTACATAAGACTTGGTGTGTTTTAAACTACGTGTTTGATGGTGTAACGCTATATAATCTGTGTGCTTGTAGGTTTGCTGTCGTGTTCCAAACTAGATAAAAAGGACATTTACGAATGTTTTGGAGATCTTGCAGAGAGCCTATTCCGGGATAGGGGTATGATCCCTGGCTGTCGCGGCCACAATGTGTAGTAATAATAAAACAACAAGTCCACATGTGTTGTTCCGTGTGTTGTGTTACAAACAGAACACAATTCGTTATAAGTGTATCGCATTGTGCAATTTTCGTACAATGCAAATTTCATTGCAAAATCGGTGTTTTTATATCACTTTTATAACCAATATCAAGATTCAACTGTATCCTTATCTGTTGTGTGTCATATTTTCCATATCAAATTAGTCCCAGATTAAAGTTGTGTAAATCGTGCCCACTTTGTTAAAATGCATATCACTTTATTGATGAACTGAGAATAAAAGATAATCTGAATTCCCTTTTTTATTGGTTGGTTGTACTAGCTTTGAATAGAATTTAAGATATATTTAGGTGTGTTTAATTTTTATTAGATCCAGCGGAAGATTTTGATTATAGTGTTTACTAAATGTTGATTTTGACTCCTTTCTTCTAAATGATTCGTAGTTGTCTATTAAATCAGCTCTTACTGAAATGTTGATGGATCGCTTCACAAGTGGTAATAACTTTTGCTAAATCCTTTCTACAAAGTTTTGCTTATAATAAAATGTGTTTAATGTCGACGTGTTGTTTGTTGGATGCTTTTTTACGGGACCCCTGAAACATCAAATGGAAAACGATAAATAGACATTTGACGCTGCACAAATTCAGTTTCCGAATGACATTAGCAGTCGATTGATTTGATTGAACGACAAAACATCCATTTCCTACGTAAGCTTGCTCATTCGTATTGAAGATATTGCGTTATTTTCTTTTACCAAAAATCTTAAAAAAATTTTTAAACACAAACAAAACACGTTTTTATGTTATTGTATTTTTTGATAATTAAAACTTTCACGAATAGGTTGTTTGAAGTTATATAAAGACAAGAGGCACAAGGGCCTTAGCGGTCACCTTAGTTATATCATAGGTACTGGTAGCTTTATTTTATTGTTCAGATGTGATGTGGAAATCAGCATGCTAACTAAGTGAAATACAATACTTGTCATGTCATCAAAGGATAAGAATTTTAAAATATTTGTAAATGTTCCCTTTGGGGCCCCGCTCTAACCCCTGGGGATGGGGCAGGAATTCCAAGTTTACAATGTGATACCGTCATCCACCAAAGATGATTCTGACCAAGTAAAAATAATTTCCAACAGAAAATTGTCAAAATATACCCAAAAGTGTTGTTTCCCTATATAAACTATAGTAAACTTTACCCCCTCCCCAAGGGAGAACGGATAGCTCGGGGGTCCTGAAATTTACAATTTAAATAAAGCCCCTGATGATCTTTCCATCCATGCAGAGAAAATGACTGTAATACCTCTGAGTCTGGAGAAGAAGATTTTTGAAATATTGGTTAATTTTCCCTTTTGGGCCCCGCCCTGGCCCCTAGTGTCGGGGTAGGAATCCCAATTTTACAATTTGGTAGCCTCATCTACCAAGGATGATTCTGACAAAGTTTGAAAAAAGTCCATCCACTGGTTCTTGAGAAGAAGTTGATAATGTAAAAAGTTTACGCACGACGGACGACTGACGACGACGGACGGAAAGTGATTGGAATAGGTCACTTGAGCAAAGCTCAGGTGACCTAAAAACGAAATACTCGGCAAAATAAAAGTACATATACAATTCTACAGTACTATTTTGTGCGGTTTAAAAACAACAGCTGGTATGTTTAGGCCATGTGTAACATTACTGTTCATATTGTTTTACAACGTAACACTATAGCGGTAAAGTGACTGGTGTTAACTGTATTGTTCTTAATGATGAACGAATGGATTATTTATCGAAATGATTGGCATATGCTATATGAAATTTATCTGGTGATAAATGATTGGAATGCTTTAGATATAAAACAGTATGATTAATTTTGCGTAAACGCAAAAGTATTTATATGGGGCAGTCGCCAGGTACAGTCCGCAGGTCGGTGGTTTTTCTCCAGGTACTCAGGTTTTCCTCAACACCAAAACCTGGCTTGTCCTTATTTGATCATAGCTGGTAATAGGACGTAAAATTGTTTTATGAAGTTTGGTGGCATTTTAGCTTCCGCAAATTTGGAAAGGCAATTTATGATCTAACTGATGTGAACGGCATATACTGTAACCCCTTCTTGGCGTATTAGATTTGCCGAATCAAATTTGCCACGTCTTTATACATTTTACTAAATCTCAAAGCTAGTCACCATGCACATTTTTGAATTGATACATTCAGAGACGTAGTATATACGTCTCCGATACATTTAATTTCCAATACTCAGTGTTACATAAAATGTAGATATTACACTTAAAGTTGGTTAAATAAGAGATTCACCAATACGGCCGGGGCTCGATTCCCCGATCTGATGTGAAAAGGTATTGGGTCACCTTCCCGACCACATGGGTTTTCTCAGAGTACTCTGGTTTCCTCCCACATTAAGACCCCCTGCGCTAACATCTGTCGCCAAATGTGTTCACACAAATATAAATCAAAGGGAGTGAACTCTCCGTTTTGATTTCAGCGGTTGACATGCACATACAAATACACAACCTTTTTAGAACCTTTCATTTTATTCATACTGTATGTACAACTTCATTGCAGGGTATTTTCATAATACAATAGTCTGACTTCAATAGCAGGGGAAGTAAGCAAGGAAACTGTATTGCACTGAGCTTAAGGTGGAATCATTTTGAAACATACTTATACATGGTTCGGTTGCATTTTTTTTTGGGACACGTTTTTGAGTAGTCAGTACTACCAGGTAACTAGATTGGTATCTAAGTCCGTGGTACTACAGCAATCCACTTTTTCACTTCTTGTTAAATTTCCAAAGGTTGTTATAATATACTGGAAATAGAAAAAAAAACATTGATTATATTTAGTTTTGGAAATAATATTTGGAAAAGAAACTTGAATTTTTAATATGGTTTTGAACTGAACACTGCTAAAATGAAAACTTTGAAGCCGGCTACATCAGGTTTATATAAAACCAGGGACATATAATATATATACTGTCCCTGATAAAACCAAATCAAACGTTACCAACATTTTGTAGTTTAGAAAGTCATGAAAGATATGTTTTATGGAACATGATTTTGAAATAAAGTTAATAACTTTTGTACAGAAAAACATATTTCCTGATTGTGATTTCAAGGTAAAATTGCCAACAGGTCACTTATGAACATGGTAAACAATTTGTTGAATGAGGTCTGTTGATTCTAAGGTAAGATAACACAGCTAACTGAATGTTTGACACAAATGAAACCATTACATCAATAAGTATAAAGATTACTATTGATACAGGCAGATATAGAGGACTATAGTGAGTTTTCATTTCATGAAATTGATGAAACAAGTCTAGAATTTTTCAGGTTTTATCAATCTCAAATGAAAACGAAATAAAAATCCCATTCATCACATTTCCAAGAATGTATACCAGTATTCAAAAACAGGGTTTCTTTGACAAATTTCTAGTCTCCAATCTCACAATTTTATCCTCATATTTTATAATTTATTGTCATAATTTTGATGGCACAATGGTTTAAACTAAATCTCTCTTATTTTTTCTCAAAACTCAGTTTATTTATTTCCTTATTTATATTCATAAATGAGAAGCAAGTCTTAAATACGGGTTTTTAAGTTTTTCTTTATTCAAGTAAAGAATCAAAATAGATATATTAAGATTTTATTTTTTCTTCCTTATCTTTATACAATCTGTATTGTCAAATCACTCTAGATTTGTTCTTCACTTAATCCTTTCAACCTTATGTAACTTCAGTAGACTCTACCATGCTATGATGTGGATGAGTCCATTATTGACTACAGTGGTGAAAGGTTTAAAGTAGAGTTGTTAACATTGTAAGCATTTTACAATGTAAAAAAAAAATACAAAAAATACATAAAGTTTAAATAATGAAATGCAATTTTGAGAAGATTACAAACTAACATAGTATGCTGTGAACAGGGCTATTGTCAAGCTATTGTTATTTTCGTTACTTTCATGTAATAATGAATTTTAATTTAATGTGACAGAGAACATTGACAGGTAACATTACATCCATTTGTTGACCTCAAAAGCGTAAAAATTAACACTTTCCATATTAATTAACTTTTCACATAGGCAAGCGTGAAAATCTGACAGCTTGAAATCTGTATAAGACAATGTGTGGAATTTTAAAATTCAGTACAAACCTGACAATAATGATACAATTATTTCATAGGACCTTATTATCATTTGACTGATGTATTTAGTTTTGAAGAAAAAAAGGGGAAATAAAACGGAGAAATCTGCTTTTGAGATGAAGACCATTTTGAAATAATATTTAATGGCACCAAATAAATGTCTTTCAAATAAAAAAAATGATTTCAGTTTGTTAAAACTTAGCTCAAAGACATGAATAAAATCAAGCATTTCTATTTGTAACATCACAAAAGACAAACACTCTGAATGAAGAAGCATTTTCTACATTTCAGTGATGACTTACAGAATCAAAGTACAGGAAGTCATGAGGAGGCATATAATTAACGATACACGGTATAATTGTAATCTCTGATTAGTTAACGAATCTAACATTTAACTCCAACTCAGAAATCTCAGCTCTGCTAGATCTGTTGTAGTCTTTTGATTTTTTACATCTTTGACACAACGTAACATCATGTTTCAAACATCCTAGGCACCGACCACAGAGTCACAATCTGTAATCATTACATTCAAAATTGATTAAAATACATCATAGAATAAGTTTATGGCTGGATTATTATTACATTTCTAAAATCAGGATATTCTTACATTTTCCTGCCTATAAAATCCCTTACAGGTTATTGTCATGCTTAACATTTTTGACAAATAATCACATATCTATTTGCAGCGTGAAGACTCCAGAATCACAGTACTCCTAACCCACATCGTTGATAAAACCAGGAATAACGGAACAAAACAATACAAGGACACACGTACAGCAACAGAACATTTAAACAAAATCTTTAAACAATGGGAGATGTTCCTGAGACTACAAAACATTAAAAGCACATCATTAAAATATTACATAGTTAATATAAACTTATTCTATTGATAATAATTTAGCCGTAACATCAAAAACATTACAATGATTTCTTGATTACTTATTCTGCTATACTGCTAAACACATACATGGTAACATCATCACACGAAATGATGGCATCACAAAATAATGACATGACAATGACATAAAATTAGGGTATCATATTAAATTAAATGACAGAATCACATAGATTAATGATTTTTTTTAAATTCATAACATTACTGCAAAAAGTTAATGATACATAAATTAAACTACTATGGTGGTAACACATTGGCTACTCTTTATTACATTATCATCATCATCATGCGGAATAAACATTTCATTCATAACATCATCATAATATCACAATACATGAGCTCATCACAATTTCTGATGATGTAATTACATAAACCTATGACATCATCATCAAAGTACTACATGTACACATGAACTGGTGACATCATTGTGATGTCACTGATGAAAAGACATCTTGACTAAAGCACTATAAGTTATACCGTTGCTGTGTGATATATCTTCGTGTGATGATACAGAACGCTTAGTTAGTGACATTCAAAAAAATATAACAAACTATATATCATATTCATTCATTTCCAATAAAATCAATTTGAACACATGAAATAGATAATCCTCATTAAGTCTTTCCATTCATTTATCTTATGCCCTATCAATTCACCAAGCTTTTCTATCTACTAGTCTCACTCCCTGTTAATTCACTAAGCTTTTCTATCTACTAGTCTCACCCCCTGTTAATTCACCAAGCTTTTCTATCTACTAGTCTCACTCCCTGTTAATTCACCAAGCTTTTCCATCTATTTGTCTCACTCCCTGTTGATTCACCAAGCTTTTCTATCTACTAGTCTCACCAGCTTTTCCCGATGGATCCACTCAAACCTCAAATTACAATAATCACTCACTCACGACGAAATTTTGTACGTCATAACACTAGGATACAAGCAGTTTTACATACAATAAAATCTCAGTAACACCAGCTTGTATCTAGTTTGTATATGCAAGCAAGTCCAACAGGAAAAAGCTAAGAAACTGACCTTTTTCTAGATTTTATCATGTGAATTTAATCTAAAGGATAAAGCTGAGACAACAGATATTATGATTTTATGTCTTTGACTTATACAAAACTACCAAGTTTGTTTAATCTCAAAACCCTTATCTGGAATGAAAGTACAAAAATCAGTCTATTATTTACAAACAAAAAATTGTTTGACATTCCATATTAACACTGAACATTGATTTGAATGTGTACTTTTATTACATGATCTATCAAGGACGTGATGTGGCCGTGTGAATATGATATGTGGAGTGAATTTGTCACGTCATGTGAGATATTGAACATCATGACAACGATTCCTTTGCCCTTTTCATCCTTCTTTTGAGAAAATTTGACTTTCAGGAAATCCTCAATACCTCAAATTCTCTTTTTTGATTAACAAAACACTGCTAGCCTTTATGTGATCAAATGATAATTTTTTGGAAATCGTAACTTTAAAAAAATATTTTGGTTATAAAATGATTAATGTGAGACAAGTAGGTATTCGTTGTTATTTAGCTGTTTAAGACTGTACTGCCTAAATGTTTAATTCTTGTCTATCGAGTAATAACAAACATAGAACAATGTATTGTCAACAATAAGTTCCTCAAAGTCTCCCGAGTTATCAATTATTCTAGCCTTGTGTTTATATATCTGCAGTTAATTTACCCATTCACCCCTAAAGCCGTATTTGAACCTTACCAAATCAAACAAGGATCAAGTCCAGTTTAAAAAAGGAGGGGTGAATGAGTTAACACACACACACAGACCTACAGGCAAGGATTTCCTGAGGATAAAGAACGTTCTTGTGAACATCACAGGTGACTTAAAATTTTTAAATATAGTCCTGAACAAATGGGTGGATTTCAACAGATATCTAAAGATGTTCATGTACATAAACTGTATTGATAGATTTAAAAACAAATAAACATGGAGAAATTAATAAAAGATCAAACTAAAATAACAAATCAAGCTTAGAAAATAATTATATGGGTACTTTCTGGGTTCAAATGTCAAAAAAGTAATAATACAAGTACATTTAAAAGATCACAAATTCGCAAAAAAACCAAAACATAGTAGAATAAACCCATAATAAATTGACTGATCAATATTTGGTAAAGGAGTTATTACATCTAAAAGGACACGCTAAAATAAACCAGTTAACTTAAGATGATAAAAAAATAAACAGTCAACATTACATAAGACTAGAGTGTCGAGCTTCAGGGACTTGGTTTGGTCAAGGAGACAGAATGGTGTACATATTATAGAAAGATCTCCATAAACATGATTAAACACTCACAAAATGTTTCAGAAAATCCTATATCAAATGCTCACAAAATGTATCGGAAATTCCTAAAATAAATGCACACAAAATGTATAGTATATTCTTGTTTACGATCACTGGATATTCATTACTAATTGGATTTCCAGGGAAATGGATAATTTGATTTTAAGATAATTACATTAATGTGTTTAAAATCATTGTAGTAATTTATCACAATAAAAAAGGCCCTTAATGGATGACATTCCATTCACATTTTCGCTCAATTTTCATGAAAGATATATACAACCATTTACTTCATCAAGTCATGCTTTAAATTACAAACAACATTTGTATACTTGTTTCCATGGCAAATGCTTAAAATTCTGCAATTTTCTAAAACTTTCATTTGCATCATTTCATTGATTAAAATTTGTAATTCAGAAAAGTCAGTTTTCTGGATTGGAGTTTCTCTGTTGTTGTACCAGGTACATACGCCAATATACCAGACACAAATATTATTAACATTTCTTTTTACTTAAAAATAATTGTATCAAATTAATCCTCACTTCCATTCTCTCACAGCAGGTTTGGTGATACATCTGATTAACGAGGTGAAAAACGGTACAAGGGGAGACACGATTTAAGCCTAACTTACAACCCATCCTGGTAACTTGTATTGTACAGGCCAGTTAGTGTATAATTTAAAATGCAAAAACAGTCAAATTTGTGTCATTTTCAAAAATGACATGTTAGTATCTGCACCCTTAATAATCTTGCTCGTAGATACCATAAAATAAAACTCATTAGTGACATAAACAATAATTAAAATCACAAGACAAAAACTGTCTGATTCGACACTAGATATGTAGACGACAGCAATATACACACATAAATTGATAGAAATAAATAATACTGTATCATCTTCCTCTGTAACAGTCTAGTCAACAATGATTACGGATCAACAGACACGATATACCGTACAACGGGAAACTTCCCCCCAGTGAAACTTTTGCCTTTCATCGGAGTAACCCATATTTGCCCTGTGTTAATTTCACACTTCAAATATAATTAATACAACAGGTAAGTTGTGTACATGTACTAATATTCGCTGATATAAATTCTCCCTCGGTACGCTGGGCAACAAAGCTGAAAGTTAACCCTTTCACCACTGTAGACTATAATGGACTCACCCAGATAAATACATGGTAGAGTCTACTTAAGTTACCTGAAAGGGTTAAACTTTGGTGAAAACTTCCCGGTGTACGGTAATAGAGAGGTAGGGTTGATACAATACAATCAACACAATTCTCTAGAACCATCCTCTCACACTTATTTTACTGTTACAAGATCACGTTCACATGTTTTAGCAGAAATGGACAGCGACTCAGTTAATTGTTTGACACGTAATTGAACAAATGACAGAGAAATATTGAAATGCATTTGTAAATTTCATATAATTTTATCACATATATATATATATATATAATTCTGTTTAAGCCTTATAAGGACCGAAGACAGAGACTACAATAAACTAGGTCTACATTTCATAGGATGATGTTCCTCCGAGACCATCCTAGTTTGATGTGTCACAAATCTATCATAATTATACGTTCCACTGGATCATGGCATTTTTTACAAGGACAATATTTATTAAATGCATGATCAGGACGACCCAGATTATCTACATAGTAGGACGACCCGAGCAGTACTCTATACGAGCACGGACGACCCAGATTCTCTACATAGTAGGACGACCCGAGCAGTACTCTATACAAGCACGGACGACCCAGATTCTCTACATAGTAGGACGACCCGAGCAGTACTCTACACGAGCACGGACGACCCAGATTCTCTACATAAGGAGGACGACCCGAGCAGTACTCTATACGAGCACGGACGACCCAGATTCTCTACATAGTAGGACGACCCGAGCAGTACTCTATACAAGCACGGACGACCCAGATTCTCTACATAGTAGGACGACCCGAGCAGTACTCTACACGAGCACGGACGACCCAGATTCTCTACATAAGGAGGACGACCCGAGCAGTACTCTATACGAGCACGGACGACCCAGATTCTCTACATAGTAGGACGACCCGAGCAGTACTCTATACAAGCACGGACGACCCAGATTCTCTACATAGTAGGACGACCCGAGCAGTACTCTACACGAGCACGGACGACCCAGATTCTCTACATAAGGAGGACGACCCGAGCAGTACTCTATACGAGCACGGACGACCCAGATTCTCTACATAGTAGGACGACCCGAGCAGTACTCTATACAAGCACGGANAAGCACAGGCAGAACTCTCTCATCACAATCAAACCTGTCTGACAAAGACATCAAAAATATAGGGTACTCTGTTTCCACTCAATGCCTTCTTTATATATTAAAAATATGTTGTAACATCATTTCTAAACCATATTTGATAGGGAAAATACCTCTTAAAAAAGATATCAGGGGATGAAATGATGTTGGCAAACAAAGGAAAATAACTTTTGTATATGGAGATTGGAAACAAAGGGCCATAACTCTGTATATGGAGATTGGAAACAAAGGGCCATGACTCAGTAGCTTTGGATAAGAAACAAAGGGCCATAACTCTGTAGATGTAGATTGTGTAGATACGAATAAGATCATATCTCATTAAGGTATCTAATTTTTATAGATATCCTACAGTCACCTAGGGCCAAAACTGTTATTGTAGATATGGGTTAAGAAACAAACGGCCATAGCTCTGATGAATTCATAACATGAATACACATGGGTCCATAAATCTGCAGCATACCAATTCTATCACATGATCAAATGATAATAACAATGGGCCATTAATTTGGCTAGATATGAATAGTTTTGGAGTCAAAAATTCTAAATGAACACATGAAAAGCCAAGGAAATAAGTAAGGATAAGTGTGGACTGACAGACAGCAATGACCTTCTACCCTTGAACTTTTAACCTGCTGACCTCTACAAAGATTCAAGGTTATAATAAAGTGGACACAACATCACATATGTATAGTGGTAGTCTGCCAGACTATATAAACACCTGAGTAAACTATTGACTCATAACAAAAATTATAAACTAAGGATCCCAGTTGATGAGGATCCGGTATAAACAACAAGTTGAAAATCAAATATTTTGTACATTAAGAACTGAAAATGGTCTGGAATGTTTTCCTGTTCATAAAAAAGCATTCTGCACAGAGGCCGCTGTTAATCCAGGACCAGCAACAGAGGCCACTGTTAATCCAGGACCAGCAACAGAGGCCGCTGTTAATCCAGGACCAGCAACAGAGGTCGCCGTTAATCCAAGACCAGCAAAACGATTTCTGCAAACATTCCAGAACGTTTTGGGTTCTGAACGTCCCCCTTCACTTTCAAGTACATTTGTATGTCACATGATGCGATCATGTGACACAACCCCCTTACACATCACATTGTGTACTCTCCCTGCCCCCCTGGGGAGATCTAATATATATTTATATATATATATTGCATATTAGGTCCTACAGGTCAAGTAACAAATCGTCTATGATAATGGTAATAAATTTTGCAACTATTTTGGCTATGTTTAACAAGTCGTGTCCTCGTCGATTCGACAGATTGATCCTCTAGTACTTGGAGGGTCCACAACAATCTCAATTTCTGCAGGTTTGCCTCGCTTTTTCTCCAATAGTTGCTCTTTTTCCTCATCGTCGATGTAGAACTGGACTGGCATCTTGTTCTTCTTGGAACTCTTGTGTTTATGATGGCCATGTGAGTTATGGTCATCATCAGGGGATTTGGATTTGTGACTGAAAAAAAGAATTTTTTTTATTGTAAATAAGTTGAGGTAAGCCAAGTTATTCACACCCGGTACTCTACAACGGTGATGGAACATTGTATGTTGTAAAGTTATGTAAAACCAACATCAGGGCCCGTATTCATGAAACCGTTCTCATGCTCAAGCATGAATTTTGTGCTAAACTCCAAATTCTTGTTCTGGCTGTAAATTAATTAGAAAAACTTATTCTGTCAATGATTTTGAACAATTTTGAAGAGATTTAAGCCAGAAAACTGTTTTCAATGTTTATATATGACGTTTTTATCGTTTGACATGATTTCGGTGAGTTACAAGAATGTTGGTTTGAGCACAGAATGCATCCTTGAGCACAAGAACGGTTTCATGAATACAGGCCCAGGCTATCCTAAGTTTTTCCCCCTTAAAAGTAAATTAAAAGGCACGGGATAATGTGAGCATGTGAACTGGTGAAAAGGAAATTCTTTTTTTGAAAACCTTACTTCTATGATAATGCTTTTGTTCTCATTTTGTAAAGAAACCTCTGTTGCTGTGTGGAAATGTGAAATATGCACAAAACAATATGCTTGAGAAATAGATATTTTCCGACAATAATAGACGATGCCTACTATTTAGCATGGTCTCCCTGGAGGTTGGAAGAGGATTCGTTGGCCACTATCGTTTTCCAGAGCGTAGTTTTCGCCATTTCTTCAGAGATATTGACCGGTTCCATCTCCATGCCTACAGTAACTCGGTCCACGGGGATGTTGATAAAGCTGCCGGTCTGGAGAGGCAGATTCACGTGGCCGGGGGTGTACTTATTAGGATCTATAAGCATGCTCTCCTCACCCTCCTATAATGGTTAGAGTAACAGAAATATTTCATTCTCAGTACAGTACAACATGAGCTGTGTGCAAAGGTACCAGTTAAGGGCATATGCTACCTAAATATACATGATTTATGTAAGATTTATCTCCCTTAACGTTATTTGAATTATTAGCAGATTACTCATTAATATCATATAACTGAAATAAAACACTTATAAGTAAATTCAAATACATAGACCTGCATATCGCACGAGGAAACAGAGTATTTCCCAATGATACATGTCTCATGATAGCCACCATAAAACCCGGTGACACTCTTTATCAACCTGCTTCTCAAACTTGCCATTAGCTAACCAATCATACCAGTATACCGTGGATGACTATTGAACCATACGTTAGTTTACTGCAACTTTCTATGCTCTAGTAGTTCCATGGAGAACCCAATATTCCCTTGACCTTGATAGGTGTATCCACACTTTTCAGTGTCAGATTAGTAGTCGGTCATATGTAGGTTTGTGGGATAAATATAATCTTTCCCCATCTTGCGGGTAAGAAGGAACAATCTCAACTTCAGGGTAAGTTTCTTAAATGTCTAGCCTGAGGTTTTGCCCAGGGCCAGACATTTAAGAATCTTACCCCGAGGGTTAAGATTTTTCTGTCTTACTCCTAAAATTGGGAAGGGTTATTTTCAAATACAAGTAGTGATTTCATGAAAAAGCTAAAATCACTAGCATCTGCTATTGTGTTGTTGCATTCTTGGCGTGATGTTATACAATTGTTACGACAGGGGACCCTAGGGTAAGACAGAAATGACTGAAAGGAAGTGTGGATATCTAATTGGGGAGGAACAGATATTCTACAGGATGTGTAGAATCGGGGTCAGAATCGAGGCTTTGTCGAGGTTCTGACACCAAACTCTACACCTGAGGATATCCTTATCCCACACACCTACATAATGATTGACTCTTTTCCTCCCACCTCTTAACCCTTTCACCCCTATGTAACTTTAGTAAACTCTATCATGCATTGATCTGGGTGAGTCCATTATGGTCCACACTGGTGAAAGGGTTGACTGAAATTCTTGTAAAACAGGAAAAAGACAATGCAAATGTAACACACAATATAGCAAATTTCTAGATAATGTATGAGTAGAAAAAAGTATGGCGTATCTCAGATATTAACATCCATGCAAGACTTTTAGGGCAAACTTGTAACAGATTTCTATGTTTTTTCGGAGGTGTCACTTCATAATGACAAGATTGAGGGGGGGTCAAAACAATTGTATGTCATCACATCAACATTGCATTGGCCACCATTACATCAACATTGTGTCTGCCCCATTACATCAACATTGTGTCGGCCCCATTAAATCAACATTGTGTCGGCTCCATTACATCAACATTGTGTCTGCCCCATTACATCAACATTGTGTAGGCCCCATTACATAAACATTGTGTCGGCCCCATTACATCAACGTTATGTCGGCCCCATTACATCAACACTGTGTCGGCCCCATTACATCAACATTGTGTCTTCCCCATTACATCAACATTGTGTCGGCCCCATTACATCAACATTATGTCGGCCCCATTACATCAACATTGTGTCGGCCCCATTACATCAACATTGTGTCGGCCCCATTACATCAACATTATGTTTATGAAATGGACAGCAAGGTAAGAGAAAAAGAATCATTCGTCCCCTTACAAGTAGGATAAGAGGAACTCAACCCTCAGGAAATGATTCTTAAATTACCAAACATCCGCAATCCCAGCTGTGCAGCTTAAGAACCTTTACCCTCGGGTTGAAATCCTTCTAACTTACCTTCAAGATAGTGAAAGTTTCTATTTGTGATACATGATTGTATTCAGCTTTTAAATGATAGAGGGATAAAACAATCTTGTAAGATATGTGTATCTAATCAAAATTATACATGTGTCAGAATGTGTTTCAGAGTTATCTTTCCTGACGTACCACTTCCTCCTTTTCCTGTTTCTTGGCGTCTTCCTTAGCCCTGCTGTGTGACTCCGGCATGATGTCGTCCAGCCATTTCAGCTCGTTCTGAGAGAATACCCAGTCCATACCTTTACGTACGAAGCACATTGCTAGCACCTGTCAATAAATCAACAGACATGCCTAGTCGTGAAAATGGAAGGCGGTGGATAACAATGAAATCTTTTCGAAAATGCTCACCTTCTTTGCAATGAGTAAATTAACATGAAATGTACACACATGTATATGTATTTACCGATTATATTGGTTATATATATACGGAACGGATAAATTTCAGAACCACTGTCAACGTGAATATTTCCAAACTGTGACCAGTTTAAAAAGTCAAAACATTTCCAAATGTGAAAATTTCTACCTTTGCAGTAACGAAATTTTGAACTTATTTGAATGAAAGCTGGGTAAGTGAGAATTTGTGAGGTAAAACTTATTTTGGGTCGGGAACATATGAAAACAAATGTTATTATTTTGATTATGCATCATCCTTTTATCATCTTTATCAGACAGATGAGTCCTTTAATATCCTCAGCTTTTAATAGGATATTAAACCTGATAAAACCAAACCAAACTGGACGGCCAATGGATGCCGCTCCCTCACATCAGCCTGTTAGGCCAAGAGAGCTGAAAATCAAGGAGATGAGTCTGGCTTTGAGATCGAAATGAGCCATGTGGCTGTGTACAGTACTTACCATGAGGGGGAATGCAATAGAGATACTCTTGATAGTCTTGATGACCCAGAGACAGGCGAGGCAGAGCACCTGTATGACGGTGAATATATGGACACGCGCGGTTCTTACATGTCGCAGGTACATGAAATCTGGCTGGTACTTCTGGGGCATGAACCACAACGTCATTCGGTCAACTACCTGCATTCCACGAAGTGAGGACACCCCCATGTACAGGAACACTCCGTACAACACTGGCATGGGCAGAGCCTGTAATAACACGGTCATAGCATAATAACACTCCGTACAATACTGGTATCGGCAGAGCCTGTAATAACACAGTCATAGCATTATAACGATCCGTACAACACTGGTATCGGCAGAGCCTGTGGTAACACAGTCATAGCATTATAACACTCCGTACAACACTGCAGGTATCGGCAGAGCCTGTGGTAACACAGTCATAGCAGAATGGAACTTTTTGTTATGTTTTCATTTCATTTATTATTTTGTTTTATACTTCCTTGGAAAAATATGAAATGAATTTAGAAAACTAAGATTTGTAAAATTTGTAAAAGGAGAAAGACTATTATTTGGTTGTTAAAATACTCCGAAACATAATGTTAGTCTAGAATATTAGTGCTGGACTGAGTATGATGTCCAGGTTCAAGGCCTGATAATTATGTACAATGTCAAGGTTCAGGCTAGGGCCTGATACATTTAGTATAATGTCCAGGTTCAGGGCCTGGTCATTATGTATAATGATGTCCAGGTTCAGGGCCCCATACATTTACTATTATGTCCAGGTTCAGGACCTGATACATTACTATTATCTCCAGGTTCAGGGCCCGGATACATTTATTATAGTGTCCAGGTTCAGGATCTGATACATTACTATTATGTCCAGGACCCGATACATTTAGTATAATGTTGAGGTTCAGGGCCAGATACATTTATTTGAATGTCAAGGTTCAGGGCCTGATACATTTAGTATAATATCAAGGTTCAGGGCCCAATACATTTACTATAATGTCCAGGTTCAGGGCCCCAACACATTTAGTATAAAGTCGAGGTTAAAAGCCTAATACATTTAGTATAATGTCGAGGTTCAGGGCCCAATACATTTAGTATAATGTCAAGGTTCAGGACCTGATACATGCAGTATAATGTCTAGGTTCAGGGCCTGATACATGTAGTATAATGTCTAGGTTCAGGGCCTGATACATGTAGTATAATGTTGAGGTTCAGGGCCTGATACATGCAGTATAATGTCAAGGTTCAGGACCTGATACATTTAGTATAATGTCAAGGTTCAGGACCTGGTACATGTAGTATAATGTTGAGGTTCAGGGCCTGATACATGCAGTATAATGTCTAGGTTCAGGGCCTGATACATGTAGTATAATGTCAAGGTTCAGGGCCCAATACATTTAGTATAATGTCAAGGTTCAGGACCTGGTACATGTAGTATAATGTTGAGGTTCAGGGCCTGATCGATACATGCAGTATAATGTCAAGGTTCAGGACCTGATACATTTAGTATAATGTCAAGGTTCAGGGCCTGTCACATGTAGTATAATGTCAAGGTTCAGGGCCTAAAAAATGCAGTATAATGTCCAGGTTCAGGGCCCGATACATTTAGTATAATGTCAAGGTTCAGGACCTGATACATGCAGTTTAATGTCAAGGTTCAGGACCTGATACATGCAGTATAATGTCAAGGTTCAGGACCTGATACATGCAGTATAATGTCAAGGTTCAGGACCTGATACATGCAGTATAATGTTGAGGTCCAGGACATGATACATTTAGTATAATGTCAAGGTTCAGGACCTGATACATGTAGTATAATGTTGAGGTTCAGGACCCGATACATTTAGTATGATGTTGAGGTTCAGGACCCGATACATTTAGTAGAATGTCGACGTTCAGGACCTGCTACATTTAGTATAATGTCGAGGTTCAGGACCTGATACATTTAGTATAATGTCGAGGTTCAGGACCCCGATACATTTAGTATAATGTTGAGGTCCAGGGCCTGATACATTTAGTATAATGTCGAGGTCCAGGACCTGGTACATGTAGAATAATGTTGAGGTAGAAGACCTCATTCAAACACATGATCTTCCAATTGTAAATGAATAATATAAAATGTACCCATCACACTCATTCTTACCTTCAGTACACTTGTCAGCAAAACAGACATTCCTATCACAAAAAAAATGGTTATCCCAGTGACCCTCTGCTCCCTACAATACGAAACAAAAAATGTAGGAAAATACCCTCAATACATAACTGTTATATCAGGACAGGACAGTAAATACACAACTGTTATAGCAGGACAGGACACTAAATACACAACTGTTATAGCAGGACAGAACACTAAATACACAACTGTTATAGCAGAACAGGACACTAAATACACAACATTAATAGCAGGACAGGACACTAAATACACAACTGTTATAACAGGACAGGACACTAAATACACAACTGTTATAGCAGGACAGGACACTAAATACACAACTGTTATAGCAGGACAGGACACTAAATACACAACTGTTATAGCAGGACAGGACACTAAATACACAACTGTTATAGCAGGACAGGACACTAAATACACAACTGTTATAGCAGGACAGGACACTAAATACACAACTGTTATAGCAGGACAGGACACTAAATACACAACTGTTATAGCAGGACAGGACACTAAATACACAACTGTTATAGCAGGACAGGACACTAAATACACAACTGTTATAGCAGGACAGGACACTAAATACACAACTGTTATAGCAGGACAGGACACTAAATACACAACTGTTATAGCAGGACAGGACACTAAATACACAACTGTTATAGCAGGACAGGACACTAAATACACAACTGTTATAGCAGGACAGGACACTAAATACACAACTGTTATAGCAGGACAGGACACTAAATACACAACTGTTATAGCAGGACAGGACACTAAATACACAACTGTTATAGCAGGACAGGACACTAAATACACAACTGTTATAGCAGGACAGGACACTAAATACACAACTGTTATAGCAGGACAGGACACTAAATACACAACTGTTATAGCAGGACAGGACACTAAATACACAACTGTTATAGCAGGACAGGACACTAAATACACAACTGTTATAGCAGGACAGGACACTAAATACACAACTGTTATAGCAGGACAGGACACTAAATACACAACTGTTATAGCAGGACAGGACACTAAATACACAACTGTTATAGCAGGACAGGACACTAAATACACAACTGTTATAGCAGGACAGGACACTAAATACACAACTGTTATAGCAGGACAGGACACTAAATACACAACTGTTATAGCAGGACAGGACACTAAATACACAACTGTTATAGCAGGACAGGACACTAAATACACAACTGTTATAGCAGGACAGGACACTAAATACACAACTGTTATAGCAGGACAGGACACTAAATACACAACTGTTATAGCAGGACAGGACACTAAATACACAACTGTTATAGCAGGACAGGACACTAAATACACAACTGTTATAGCAGGACAGGACACTAAATACACAACTGTTATAGCAGGACAGGACACTAAATACACAACTGTTATAGCAGGACAGGACACTAAATACACAACTGTTATAGCAGGACAGGACACTAAATACACAACTGTTATAGCAGGACAGGACACTAAATACACAACTGTTATAGCAGGACAGGACACTAAATACACAACTGTTATAGCAGGACAGGACACTAAATACACAACTGTTATAGCAGGACAGGACACTAAATACACAACTGTTATATCAGTACAGGACACTAAATACACAACTGTTATAACAGGACAGGACACTAAATACACAACTGTTATAGCAGGACAGGACACTAAATACACAACTGTTATAGCAGGACAGGACACTAAATACACAACTGTTATAGCAGGACAGGACACTAAATACACAACTGTTATAGCAGGACAGGACACTAAATACACAACTGTTATAGCAGGACAGGACACTAAATACACAACTGTTATAGCAGGACAGGACACTAAATACACAACTGTTATAGCAGGACAGGACACTAAATACACAACTGTTATAGCAGGACAGGACACTAAATACACAACTGTTATAGCAGGACAGGACACTAAATACACAACTGTTATAGCAGGACAGGACACTAAATACACAACTGTTATAGCAGGACAGGACACTAAATACACAACTGTTATAGCAGGACAGGACACTAAATACACAACTGTTATAGCAGGACAGGACACTAAATACACAACTGTTATAGCAGGACAGGACACTAAATACACAACTGTTATAGCAGGACAGGACACTAAATACACAACTGTTATAGCAGGACAGGACACTAAATACACAACTGTTATAGCAGGACAGGACACTAAATACACAACTGTTATAGCAGGACAGGACACTAAATACACAACTGTTATAGCAGGACAGGACACTAAATACACAACTGTTATAGCAGGACAGGACACTAAATACACAACTGTTATAGCAGGACAGGACACTAAATACACAACTGTTATAGCAGGACAGGACACTAAATACACAACTGTTATAGCAGGACAGGACACTAAATACACAACTGTTATAGCAGGACAGGACACTAAATACACAACTGTTATAGCAGGACAGGACACTAAATACACAACTGTTATAACAGGACATGATACTAAATACACAACAGTTATAGCAGGACAGGACTCTAAATACCCAACAGTTATAACAGGACAGGACACTAAATACCCAACAGTTATAACAGGACAGGACACTAAATATACAACTGTTATAGCAGGACAGGACACTAAATACACAACTGTTATAGCAGGACAGGACACTAAATACACAACTGTAATATCAGTACAGGACACTAAATACACAACTGTTATATCAGGACAGGAAACTAAATACACAACTGTTAAAACAGGACAGGACACTAAATACACAACTGTTATATCAGTACAGGACACTAAATACACAACTGTTATATCAGGACAGGACACTAAATACACAACTGTTATAGCAGGACAGGACACTAAATACACAACTGTAATATCAGTACAGGACACTAAATACACAACAGTTATAGCAGGACAGGACACTAAATACACAACTGTTATAACAGGACAGGACACTAAATACACAACAGTTATAGCAGGACAGGAAGAAGAATGATAATTAAAACAAGAGGTCCAGAGGGCCTGTATCGCTCACCTGGATACCAAAGCAATCATGGCAAAATATTCTCCGAATGAGATCAAGGGAATATGCCGGACCCCAAGGCCAATCCTTGTAGCATTTCTGTATTAGATTCTTCATGCCCAGCAATTTTATGTATGGTTATGGGGTGGGAATCCCAACTGTTTCCAAGCTTTGACTCAGAAACTAGGTCCCTAGGGTTGTGTCCAGACCCCAAGATCAATTCTAATATCGTGACTGCATTTGTCTCTTTTTGCCCATCATTTGTATATATACAAATGTAGTTTTGGGGTGGGGATCTCAACCATTTCAAAGTTATGACCCAGGGGTTAAGTCTGCAAGGGTGGGGCAGACCCTGGGGTCAATTCTAATATCATGACTGCATTCATCTTTTTATGCCCAACAATTGTATATTTAGTTTTGGGGTGGGGATCTCAACAGTTTCAAAGTTATGGCCCAGGGACTATGTCTCCAAGGGTGGGGCCAGACCCTATAGCCATCCTGGAAGCAAATGTGCATTCTTCTCTTTATACTCAGCAATTGTATACCATGGTTATATGGTGGGGATCTCAACCATTTCCAAGTAATACACTTTCTTTGGCCCAACCCCTTAGCCCGGGGGGTCAGCCCCAATATTTGTACAATTTTGAATCCCTGCGACCTAGGGATGCTTCCGACCAAATATGATCAATATCCATGGTATAGTTCTACAGTAGAAGTCGTTTATAGCAACATAGCCAAATTGCCCCCTTTTTGGCCCCGCCCTCAGCCCCACAATTTGTATAATTTTGAATCCCCACCACCTAGGGATGCTTCCAGTCAAATATGGTTGATATCCATGTCATAGTTCTACAGAAGAAGTCGTTTGTAGCAATATAGCCAAATTGCCCCCTTTTTGCCCCGCCTCTCAGCCCCCAGGGGGGTCAGCCCAACCATTTGTACAATTTTGAATCCCCACCACCTAGGGATGCTTCCAGTCAAATATGGTTGATATCCACTTCTTAGTTCCAGAGAAGAAGTCGCTTAAAGCAATATAGCCAAATTGACCCCTTTTGGCCCCGCCCCTCAGCCCCCTGGGGGGTCAGCCCAACCATTTGTACAATTTTGAATCCCCACCACCTAGGGATGCTTCCAGTCAAATATGGTTGATATCCATGGCTTAGTTCCAGAGAAGAAGTCGTTAAAGCAATAGAGCCAAATTGACTCCTTTTGGCCCCGCCCTTCAGCCCCCTGGGGGGTCAGCCCAACCATTTGTACAAGTTTGAATCCCCGCCACCTAGGGATGCTTCTAGTCAAATATGGTTGATATCCATGGCAAAGTTCTACAGAAGAAGTCGTTAAAGCAATTTAGCCAAATTGACTCCTTTTGGCCTCGCCCTTCAGCCCCCTAGGGGGTCAGCCCAACCATTTGTACAATTTTGAATCCCCACCACCTAGGGATGCTTCTAGTCAAATATGGTTGATATCCATGGCAGAGTTCTACAGAAGAAGTCGTTTGTAGCAATATAGCCAAATTGCCCCCTTTTTGCCCCGCCTCTCAGCCCCTAGGGGGATCAGCCCAACCATTTGTACAATTTTGAATCCCCACCACCTAGGGATGCTTCCAGTCAAATATGGTTGATATCCACTTCTTAGATCCAGAGAAGAAGTCGTTAAAGCAATAGAGCCAAATTGACTCCTTTTGGCCCTGCCCTTCAGCCCCCTGGGGGGTCAGCCCAACCATTTGTACAAGTTTGAATCCCCGCCACCTAGGGATGCTTCTAGTCAAATATGGTTGATATCCATGGCAAAGTTCTACAGAAGAAGTCGTTAAAGCAATTTAGCCAAATTGACTCCTTTTGGCCTCGCCCTTCAGCCCCCTAGGGGGTCAGCCCAACCATTTGTACAATTTTGAATCCCCACCACCTAGGGATGCTTCTAGTCAAATATGGTTGATATCCATGGCATAGTTCTACAGAAGAAGTCGTTTGTAGCAATATAGCCAAATTGCCCCCTTTTTGCCCCGCC